GACTCCGAGAGTCTTGAAGTGCTGTTACCACTGCCCCTGGTGCAACTCCTCCGGATTAACGATGAGGAGACAGGGACTTCCAGAGACGGTCAATTCTTATTAATCTGTAGTTGTCCTAGATGTGTTAGTGGTTAATAGGATCCTCGAAAAGATCCTCCTTTAATAGTCTATTGGTTGCCTTAATAAATTGTATAACTGTACTTATTCTAGCTGTGACTATGTCTTCCCAGGTTAGAAAATCTTATCGAAGATTCTTAACCTAATGGTCATGTATCCTATACATTGGCACAAGAAGTGTTCCGATGTTTCCTCCTCTTATGGACAGTGTTCACAGCGGGGGGATGTGAAATTGTTTGCCTTGTATTGGAAGTAGGCCAAGGGGCTATGTCCTGTGAAGAGCGAGGTTAACCACCTTTGGTGATTTCCTGCAAGTCCAAGATTCCTGTGTTTGTATTTGGTGAGTAGGATTGTTAGTGGGATTCCCTTTCTCGCTCAGTGCTGTGTTCCTGTACCTGCGAAGATGGATTCCGTGTAAGTACTCCTTTACTGCCGTCTTTATTGCTCCTTCAGATATACTGATGAAGGGTTCAGGACCTTGGGCAATTGTGAGTGATCCTTCTCTGGCTAATTCGTCCGGTCTTTCGTTTCCTGGAATCCCTGCGTGTCCCGGGACCCACCTGATAGTGACTGAGTGGGTTTGTCCTAGATTGTTAAGTTGGTTAATGGTATCAAGTACTAAGTTGGATGTGACCGTGTTGTGTGTGACTGCTAGAATTGCTGCCTGTGAATCTGAAAAGAATGTTATACTCCCAGGTTCTGTAATAGTGTTAGTTGCCCAGTGCAGAGGCGGCTCGTGGGAGCTAGCTGGCAGTTTTGTTGGGTGTCCCACCGACTGAGGGCCGCCCCAAGCCCCCCCCCCCCCCCAAACTGCCGATGTCTATTCACCGATGACTGCATACAATACCATTACCATAGCAGAGATTTAATTAATTAATTAAATTATTCCAACGTACATTACAGGACACACACGTGTAAGATCGCAGTATCATAACAGTTCAGATTGCAAGGTGTCCAGGACAACCAATCCATATAAATTACCTGTAGTGGATGCGCTTAAGATGTGCTTTGTATCGTTTACAATTAACTATGTGTTAAAACTGCGCGTCTTAGTTGTCCAAACGAGGATTGGACACCCTACAACATACAACACAAAATTTCACAAAGATCTCGATCATGCGTGCGCTTACATTCGAACGTTTGAATGAATAGAGAGCTTTATATTGCGGTTAGATATTTCCGAATACCATTACTAATCACTATTTCTATTTTCAAGCATCAGCCACCAGATAATAATTCTGGACGCCCTCAATAGCCGCCTCTGGCCCAGTGAGCTGAGTGTCTAGGTGGAAACTTTGTCTCTGGACCTCAATTGAATTTCTTATTAGCATTACACAGTAACCTGCACCTTAGTAGAGGTTCTTACGGGCATTGTCTGCTCGATACGCTAGGGACCCCAGATACACCTTACTAGACGTATTTTTGACCGTAGAATCGATTAAAAGTAGTTTCAAGATGATTGGACAGATTTTTCTCGGTTAAAATCGCAAAAAACCGATTTTTGGGCCAAAAATAGGCCAAAAAACCATGTTTTTTGATATTTTGAGCAAGTTAATTTTGTTGGCATGTCGGCAAAACTTGCATGGAGATAGTTAAAAGACAGCCGCACAAGATGGTATAAAAATACAACAAATCCCTCTATTTTTTCTGAGGTAAAAATCCAAAAAAGTGGTAAACATTTTGACTTTTTTGCTTAAAGTTTGAATAATTTTTTGCAGTTGTATTAAATCAACTCAAAAATAGTCACATCGTGTTTGCCTAAATTTTTCCTTTCTGAGAAGTACCCACTTCATATACTTTATCGAAGTTTGAATATTGTCACTCCGCAAGCGTTTTTGCCAAATTTTCGACGCGCACTACGCGCAAAAGCATTTAGTTGTTATCAATTGGCACCCGCGCGTTCATCATAAATTTCGAACAGCTATAACTCAGCGAGATTATGTCCGTTCTAGCTCATATTTTCACACCAAATAGAAAATGATGTGATCTTATTGCTGACAAAATATAAATATAATTACTCTATTTGCCTTAAAGTAATAGACTGTCAAAGTTTAAAACGCGCATTGGTATAGCACGTGACTTATAAGGCCAAATCTATACTTCTTAACATGTTATCGATCCTTAGACATCATACTATTGTGTCCAATTAGCGGTTAGGTCTCTAAACTCGTAGCAGAAAACACGCCTTTTTGCCCGTAAGAGCCTCTACTACCTGAGAAATGTTCTATTTTTGAGCCATCTGTGAAGATAGCCCAATGTGATGTTGGGGTGATTCCAACCTGCTGTGTTGCTGTAGATCGCTCCTGTATTATAGTTTTAAAATTCCGATCCAAAATTGTGGTAGTTTCGATAATGTCCGTAATTTTACATTTCATTGCTGGTATGAGTGAGAAAGCTTTGTCCAACTTGTATGCATGGGACTTACAGTTTCCTGATTTGCTAAATTCTGGTAGTTAGAATTCCAATTTCCGTTAATTTTGAGTCTCCTAGCTGAGAGTATGGCCAGTTCCTTGAGTTTTAAGTCAATGGGTTTGATTCCTGCCATCGAGTGGTGTGCTTTTAAGTCCTCTTGATATCATGATACTAGCGTGTCTCTGTATTGCCTGCATCTTAATTAAATGAACATCTCGACATTAAATGAACGGACATAATTATGAACGGACATTAATATGAACGTTAGAAGGCACTCAAAACCATCAAAAATCCGAATTTTTTTTTTTAACGTTTTTTTATTCCAGAAGTTTTTTTATACAGTAAGTAAGAAAAGCAGTCGTTAAGCAGTAAAAATGTTAAAAGATGTGTACATGATCAGTGTTTAATATCGCATATCATCTTCATCATAAATGGGTTTTCGTGCATGAAATAGTTCAACGTTAAAAAATTAACCTTTAAAATTAACCAACGTTGGCCTATAAGTATAAAACGTTTAAGAACTTTTCATTCACAATCTAAAATAAAATACAACGTTAAAACGCTGTTCAATTTTAAACGTTGCTCATATCAATTGGTTCATCTTTTTGGGCGTTCGTGTAATGTTTTTTATCCCAGTTTCAACGTCTTTTCAGTTTCAACGAGTTAGCTAGAAACTTGATCTCTATTTCCAGACTTTCATAATGATCATTAGGCTCACAAGTACAACAGCTGGAATAAAATAGGTTAACCTTCTTTCTGGCTCACTTGTGGGCTGCTTCAGAAGGCTATACTATAAGTATATATAACTGTCTAATTGAATAATTGGAAGAGAACTCCATCAGGCCTACTCCTAGCTGAACCAAGCGGGGAGTTGATACACCTTTCACAAGCAAGAGCCACTTTGGTCTACTTGCTGTGAGGTGTCTCCGCTACGCCTATATGGGTTGGGGGTCCCCCCCTTTTCTTTTCTTTTTGGCTTTGCTGTTTGGTCTGCACTGATCACCATTATTTGAGACTCGACATGATTTAGTGTTTTACAGTGTGGGAGCTTGGGAGTAACTCTTATAGACTTAGAGGGAATATCTTCGATAAGATTTGCAAGGGTTTTGCTTGACCGTCCTTTTTCCAATTCCCGCTCTCATTAGCGATTCATCAAGAGCGCTTTTTCCATAGGATTTATTTTCGTTGACTTACATATTGCGTAGTCTGAACTTTGCAATATCATTGTGGTAATACTAATTTAATTTCCCGAAGCTCCAAGATTTTGCAGTTTTTAATTCCCGGGTGCAGATAATTATACTGATACAGACATAAAATAGAATTAAAGTCGATGTACCAAGCGCTTAAGGGCCGTTGCAATCAATAAATCAATTTTATATTCGAGAAACTCTTTAGTCTCGTCTAATAGTAATACTAATAGACAATGTCCTTGGCAACACGATTTACCGTAATATATGTAGACTAGGCTGGAACAAGTTTGTAATGTTGGCGGGGACTAGCTCATGAACTATGTTGTTGAGTGCCATAATTTCGTTGACTTTTTCCGCAAAGTGCCCCTTGGAAACATCATATACTATAGTAGAGTTTTCTGTGCCTCCGGCAGACCAAGGAGAACCTTTCCGTCTTTAACTTACGGCACAATAAAGTTCTCATAGTTGTCATATTCTGGACAAAAAGTTCGAAGTTTTGAAAAAAATTCAACGGACTTTAACTTGGACGGACCTTAAATGAACAGACTTTATTTGAACGGACATTGACAATTGAGATGAACGTTAAGGCCTCCAGCGTTCAATTAATGTCCTTCCAAATAAGGTCCGATAAGGTATAAGAAGTTGTGGGTTTAAAAAAGTCCAGCTCGATTTTTAAAAGTTTGTGCATCATTTCAACATTTAATTTCATCTATAGACATAGTGTAACTACGCATATTTTCAAGCTTAAAGACAGAAAATAAAGATGAAGCTATGAATTAAGAAACTAATAAAGTAAAATACTAATCACTAATATAATTGTAAGTTCTGGAAACTAATCTTTCTCCTCTCGAATATAATTGTAACAATTCTCCGCATAGAATTAGAATCCACTATAATTCTACAGTCACACACGTACAATTCCTATTTCCGTATATATAATATCGTACGTGATTAGGAAATAAGGCGAGCGATCTAGTGGGAGCGCTATACTATTACCATGGCTGACGTTTTCTTACAGAAATTGAAAAGAGTCGAGGGTAGACGAGGAACTATTCATGTCCGAATTTCGTGGTTATACTTAATACTAATTTTCTAATTATCCATGGGCCAAGATTTAGGCGGGAGAAACTGGGATTCTGACATGGAATTGAATTTGGTCTACCTACATTCAATCGGTGTAATACAAAATAAAACAACTTCTTTACCATAGACGGTGTCATAAATTAAAATTTTGAACTCCAGGACAACTTACAATTACTAATACAATAATATCATGTAATATCATCGTCATCACACCAGCAGTAAATAGTCGGTAACAATATTTACTAAAGCTCAGCTAACACCTTTAACCACAGCACGAATTCCTCATTTTTCTGACTCAATACATTTAGAAGATATAAAAAGCGACCCCTCACACGGTGTATAATTCTAAGTTTAAATCAATACATGGGCCACAGTAGACATGATCAAACTGAACTAAACATTTGGCACAACAGCAATCAGCATACTATACATATTAGCATGCGAAAAGAATACAACTCAAATGGTTTATGTTTAACAAATTTTAGAACGATCAAATTATCAGCTTATTGATATTAAGGAAACTGATTTAAAAAATCGTCAAATGATTTCAATTCAGAACGATGCTGCCCTTCATTAAATCAGCCGAAAATAAAGATGCGGGCTGTTCGCTTCAAATGCAATTTTATTTGCTTAATGAACTTCCAAACTTCCAAATTTGCGGAAATAAAAAGGATAAAAACAATTATCGATAATAAACAAACGCACAGAAAATTATCATCATCTTCCAGGTGCGGCTGCCGAAAACTCTTGCTGAGCAGCTCCATATTTCGATATCCAAGTTAAAATTAAAAAGAGAAATATGCGGCCGTTTAACTCAGTAAAAAACATAACAAAAACTTTTGGAAAGCATGCCAATTAGCAATCAGCAGCCAGTTTATATTACACAAGTATACAAAAATTACTCAATTTATGCATGTACACATCGCACATGCTTTTGTTTTCAGTTCAGATAACATAATTAAAAGTTCTCACAGTTCAAAACACACTCCAGGATCAAATCGGCAATGGCTGAGGAAACCAATTTAGTCTTTTTCTTATTCCTTATTTGTTGACCGATGCATTTCTTAACGATTTATTGGTCCAACATTTGACCTGCTCGCGCAAGCGGTAAGATAAAGCTCAGCACCGCGATATATAAATACACATAACACAGTGGCCTCAATCAGGAACCATGACGTCACGTGTGCGAGATTGTGACGTCACGTGAAGGGGCAAGCGTTACGTTAGGAAGCTGTCCAGTTCTTTGCTGAATTCGTCGAACATATTTTCCAAGTCGTCGAACACCGATGCCCCTGTCGCTCGCCTGAAAGTTCTCCAGCATTACTGAGTGTCACCAACCAAATGTTCCAAGTTCTAAAACTCAGGTGCTTATAATAGTTTCAGGTGCTTATAATAGTTCGCATCAACATTTAAAGCTTTGTGATCTAAAAAATTAAATCTTACTTTAAAGAATGCTACAATATACCCAAAATGCAAATCATATCACGAAACCACATTCTAATATTAACATAATTGATAAATGATAATGCTTGTGTAAAATGCTTAGCAAAGTTCCGAAAATCGAGACAAGTTCTTTAGAAGCTGATACACTGAGATTAAAAAGCAAATCAGCATCGAAACATCGCATAAAAACAGAATCAGCGAGTCATTCAAGCGTCACATTTTACATCATAAATAGTATATATACACACTGTACAAAATAACGAGTTTTCCAGTATATCGGGCGAGCTTGTAGGTTTAGAAAAATACCGGCGAGGTAATAACAGCAGCAAGATAAAAAGATATCGACCGTTAGCTGAAACAGTCGATCAAACATGACACGATAAGTTGGAGTCCAACTGTAAACCACAATCACAACAACCCAACAATGATTATATGCGTTACATGACACAGAACCGGAAGAAATGTGCAGCATTTCATGGAATTTCTCTTACGGGGGTGAATCCAGCTTTTCAATCTTGTCTGAAGTTTCGAGTTTGATTTCTGAACTTTCTTCCAGAGGTTTTTCCTCCGCAATTGGGGCTTCGATGATAGCGGGCTTTTCAATGATCGGATCGATCGGTTTTGAATCGTAGTTTGTTATTCTAAAAATAGTTGAATTAAGGATACAATTCTTGACATTCGTAATCAACAGAGATTAATTAATGTTCCCAATGTTAACATACTACACTACAGTTAATTATGTAATGGAACTGGACTCCGGACAAAACAAAACTGTACTCACATAGGGGGAGAAGGAGATTCAGGGTTCCTGGTGACTGTTATATGGCCTTCTGATGTGGCCCTCTTGAAGGAGTATTTCTTTGGTTTGGGGGCTACAGGGGGCGGGACTTTCTTACCAGCCTGAGTGGCGAGAGTTTTAAATGTGCGATGGAGTGGGATTAAAAGTAAGTAAATATGTGAAATGATACAATGAGAGTATTATTTTTTATTTCCAAAAATCAAGATCACAATTATAAAGCAATTATTGGAATTAGCTTAATCAATGATCATGCGGGATGCAATTAATGACAGCTTCTCAAAGTCAATACATTCAAATAATGACAGAATCCAAGAATCAATCTCAATATATTATCATGATTATTGAATATGTATTTCGGTCGAATCCCACTATACTACTAATAAATCGTAGAATTCCACAGAACTGTGTGAGGCTTCTTCTTGGATTCTGCCAGAATAGCTGAAGACAAGTGCTGGTGTGTTGATGCGAGATAATATCTATTTAATATGTGCTACCTGCTGGGACGCCCCAATATCGTCAGTATCATCACAGTAGACTGACTTCACAACAGCAGCTACAGCCGGGCTCATGCTTTCCCAGTTAATGTTCTAGAGAGTTTTAATTACAAATCACAGATTGCAAAACTTAGGTTGAAGCAGGGTAAATTAGCCGAGTAAATTAGCGAGAACTTGTAATTTACGAGCTTTAATTGTGCACGAAAATTACGTTGACTGCACGAAATTAGTGCTTGGTAAATAAATTGCAACGTAACTGAGCAGATCAAAAGCAATTTCCAAGCGAGAAGCCTGATTCGCGAACAGAAAGCATTAGACAAGAAATAGTAGAGTAGAAGATGATCCTAGGACAGTAACGTCTAGAGGGGGAGAAGCGTCTAGAAGTGTCTGCAATCTACATGGCGCTCTAACTGTTTGTTATCTGAAGAATGCAGGAACGGAGCTGCGGCGGAAGGAAGCCCGATAAGAATAGAGGTTTGTACTAGTACAGGTCTAAGTCTGGTAGTGGCACACGCACGTGCTATTACAGCCACACATACTTACGTACGTGCTTTAACTCTCAGACAAGGAGGAGAAACATTTAACAAAACCATAAGATTAAACTGACCATAAGGACTTCATACTTTCATATCAAGTTTCAGCGTAACAATCAATATTACCCCTCAAGGTATCAATTTTGTGTAACAATGGTAATATTTTTTCATTGAACGTATCATATTTCGATTACGGAAACGTGACGCACTTCACTGGGAAATAAAGTTCCTGATAAGAGGGAAAATGGATAACTTGACAGTTGACTTGCTAATATTATCTTTATGATAGGGCAAAACTTTAACAAACTGTGAATAAAATAACGTTTATTTGACCAAAAATATGTAACTTGTAGACCATTTTCCAGACACAGACCTTATTTGAACCTTTTTCACTGGTTACAGACGGGTCGCACATGAAAATGGTAAACGATTTTTAATTGATATCTATCAAATGAACCTTCATTATATCAACTTAACTGGTTGCAATTTAAATACGAGTGGGAAATCAGCAAGGGCGTTGTCGCACACTTCTAATTACGATGTCTCCAGTGCAGATGACACTTGATCACTACATAGGAAACTCATCAGAATGTAATTATAGCATGATTACTCTGAATCAATTGTAGTCTCCAAAAGTAAAATGGCATGCAAAATAGGGTTGGACATTGGACATGTTGGATTCATACTACAATCCTATAATCCTAAGAAACCAACATTTGCGATATTTTTAAAAAGCCAACATTTTAAAAAGCAGCACATGATCATTGTGGGATTTTCGCAGATTGTCAAGAGTGAATCACTGCAACAACGAGGCCCCGCCCAATAATATGCACATATGGTTCATCAACCACATTTTCACCACGCTTGTTAAATAAAATATATGTATACGGGCTACAGACACAAACAAATTACAACCAAACATAAACTAACGCAGTCTAGCGAATCAGCCTGTCATACAACCAATAGGGAAACAGTATGACAAATGAGAACCAATCACAACGAGTGGTTTCAGTCCCGTGACTGGGGTTGTTACCAACCAGATTCAGGGGGTTTGGGGCACGCGATTAGAGTCTAGACACTTCCTGGTGATGGAGCCCCCAGGCAAACTGGTTTTATTGAAACCTAATAGCTGAAACCAACTTTTCACAAGACAATGTATCTTGGCATTAGTATCACATCCGCATATTACAAAGTAGGTTAAACTACACTGCTAGATACTACAGCCAGGTATTATAACCACACAACTGATCAGAAGTAAATCAAAATGACATGCAGATTGCAGAGAGACATGCAGCAACCTGTATAGTGTATCCCTTCAAAACATGTAATCAGAGGAAATCAAATCGCGTGATATTGCTTTGATCAACTCAGTTTGCAAGCAATATCAAAACTTTGTTAGCCATTAGCTTAATTAGTTAATTAGCTAATTAATAACCAGCATGATAGAGGTAAGCTAAATCTAGCTGGCAAGCTTATGAATCAGAGTAGCATGCTTTAAAATCACGTGACCAGCATCAATATAATCACGTGATCAGCCGAGGGAGCTTTGTCTTACCTTCATTGCGTCCGATGTACTCATTCTTTGGTCGAGTTTATTCAAAAACAACTGTTTTCGTTCTTCGACTGTCAGCGGTTTCTCCTTCAACTTACACGAATCTACAATAAGAGATAAGAGTTAGAGACACGTAGAACGTGGAATATCGACAGGTACACCACGATATAAATCAACAAAACCACTAAACGTTTCGTAATCGATTCCGATTTACATTTTACAAGGCTTTCGTGATATTAATAACACTTTAATTGCTACGAATGATAGAAATCAGTAATCGACCGTCGAATCACTGAGAATTGAGATATACTTCAAGATGAATCATAATTTATCTAACAGCTCTATTACAATTCTAGAAACTGAATTTATTAAACAGTTTTTTTTATTATATAACGAGAAAAAACAGACGACTTAAACTGTATCCAACAGAGCCTGGACTTTCCAGAAATCTGGGCGGAGTGAAACAATCAGGAGATACAAATTACAAGGGCTTAATAATTCGAGTATCATGGTAAAAAGAGGTAGACTGTAATTACCAATGCTAGATAAGTATACGAGGGAAATTTTATCAGAAATTAAGTGTTTCCTAAACATGTTTCAAAGGTCGCGCTGCAGGTTGTATCTTATAAAGATCTTGTAAGGGGAGCTTTGAAAAATACCTAACAAGAAAACAAAACAAAGGAGCTAAACAGAGGAATGGACCCCCTGGTGGCACCACAATGAATGTAACTAAAGCAGCCGGTGATAAAGCCAAAAATGTAGCTAAAACACCAGGTGATGCTAGTATAAATGGATCTGAAAGACTGTGTAATATAGCTAAAAATTTAGCTGAAAGCAATCGGCACTATCTAAGTGGAAAGGTATGTCGCCTTGTGGCTCCCGGTAATTGTCGAACTGTTGTAAAAGATCCTGGCATACATTCCTCTTAGTTACAGATCATGAGCGCGCAATAGCATAATGAATAGTATTTAATAGCAGAATTAATAGTATTTAATCAGCGTAGTAATCTTAACCATCGTCATAATACAAATGTATCGTATTAGTCAAAAGTAAGCGCAAAGCGGCCTCTTGGGCGCTTTATAATTACGAAAAGAAACTAACGACCAACTATTAATTAATGAAGAAATCGACGAAGTTTGATGATTAATTCGTGAGAAAATGCAAATCTAATTACAGGCTGAAGATAAGGTGTTAATAGATAATAATCAACGATAAGAGGTGAGTATTCTGCGTTTGATCAAATCATGGGCTATAGTTATAATTTATACCTATTAACGATCAAATATTTTTCTTTACATAATTAAAAACGGAGATTTCGCTAGATAAATTTTTGTAAGTCAATAAAGGAATAAGTCTAAGCTTAAAATTACCAGAGAGAAAACCAGACTGAGCATTGTGCAAAATCTCGAATTATAAGAACTGATGACACGTTCTCAACATTTCGGCACGCACCGTGTAAATTGAGTAAACAAATAAAACATGCTTTGAATTATCTCAGAACTTACATCGGTATCGCATTCCAGACATTATTAGAGCTGAAGGAGATTCTTCCATCAAGGCTTAAAATATGTACACAACTCGGCAAGTAAACATGATATGTATGGTGCTGTACACAGTACAGAGTGATCCCGTAGATTGGATATACTGGAGATTGGAGCGGCGCCAAGTACATTAGATGAAGCCCAAGCAGGGTTACTGATATCTTTGTAACTTAGGGAGGAGTAGGAGAGCTAGAGTCCGTACGAGTTGATAATAATAACTATATTCACTGTTCAGACAACCTGACGAGGGAGCGGGCAGATAGCATCAAGATTAGTGAAGAATGCAAACTACAAGGGTACTACTTGGTGTCTAGAGATCAAGGCTATTAAACTTGGAGATAACCTAATCTCGCATAATCCGGGTTAATTACTCGCTGTAGGAGACAGATATTGTCTCTCTATTTTAAAAGTAAAACTGTAAACACCGTATTAATCAGATCAGGAGCGACTGATTTGGACGGAATTGCAACAATGTTTACTACACCCTGGATCCATTAAACAGAGTAGTACGGCAATATACAACATAATATGAGAGAGAATATGTTACACTGTCCCAATCACGTGAAACTGTGATATTACAACCACAAGTTCACAAAGCTGCTGCACACTCTACACTGCCCTTCATGAGGGTAGCTTGTATTGAAATGCTCTTGTTGCTCAGCTACTCCAGCTCAGGTTTTCAGTCTCGAGTACTCCTTGATAGCAAGTCAGTTCATGGTATTAGAATGCAAATCGGTTTCATTAGAGCAGACATGCTTGGAAGATAGACTAAGCCAGAAAAACAGGTGCAAAGGGAGGTAGAGTAGAAAAAGAACTTTGGCGGATGAACATTCACGGCAGTAAGAAGCAGAATATAAGAATTAAAGCCTAATTAAGCCTAATTAACAGATTTAAAACCTGAAACCAACATATAAAGCTGTGTAGAGTATAACAGATACTGCCTGTTGAGTTAAAAGTTAAAGAGAAAGCAAGAGACGTGAGGGTAGGAAGAAACAAGTGGCCCTTGTACACGAATACTACATTGTAGATAATGGATCATTGAATGTTACATACCTGATGGCTGATACCTACCTTGCAAACGATTGAAAGCCAGCAATACGGCAAGTATACTAATTTATTCATACTTCATCTCTTGAAAAATACAGCGTATAATATCGTACCAGGCACAAAACAATTAGAAGAGTTTTACCAAGACTATGGGGAAGAGGTGTAACCAATACGTTGTAACCAATATGTTGCGCTAATCCATCAGTAACCAATTAACAAGTCTAACAAATTATAAAACTCTAAAACAATACGTTATCAGGACCAACAGTTCAGATGTGCGTGGCGTCAAGCTTGACAACATGACAACATTAAGCGATGAACCAGCTAATTCAGACCACAGTGCACAACAACAAGTATAACAAGGACAAGAAACTTCCAGAGAGGAGCTACGGAGTGCTAACAGTGCAGTGAATGTAGCAAAGGAAAACAGCGACTCCCCCACACCGAGACTGGAGGTCTGGGCCACTGCAGTGTCAGTCATAATGTGTGAAATGTGGTGCTGGCAATGAGTATTTTGTCTAGCACGCGCCGCCATTCTGCTTCCTTCCGGCTCCCCTGCAGAAGGACTTGTGGGTGTCCAGGAAACTACACTACTATTTAACAATGACTAGGCAATGAACCAACTACCAAGTAGATAGGTCAATCTAATCGGAAATTCAAACATTTTACAAGGAAATAGATGCAAGCTTAAGACTGCATGCTTTAAAAGTGTATCGCTTTAAAACTCATCTTTAAATTAAAATTCGATACTTTTAAACTTGTCCCGGAATGCTCCCAATAATAAATAACGGGTCGCCTTATTATTTTTATTTACATTTGGAACGCTACAAAAGTCTGAACATATTTTAGCGTACTATTTATAAACTGTTGAAAGGCGAGATTGCTCTGAAAAATAATCAAAAGTACAGTACATAGAGAAGTTCGAATTCAAAATTGGCAGCATTAAGGCACCAAACAAATAAAGAGAACTACAACACCACCCCTACTCTCCAATCACAACACATGCCTCCCACCTACCACGCTGTTAAACAGTAATGCGTGATGATCACCAATGGAGAGCACATAGGACCCCTCAATAAAGCACAAGTTCATGCGACTGGGTGAAGCTGTCTCCATTATTATACCATGTTTAGCTTGCTCTAAATATAATATCAAGACAAATCCTACTGCTGCGATTTATAAATCATAATGTGCGTCTTCATTTCTATATGGTTCTGAGAGATCAGGTCAACTTAACGCCCGACGGCTCATTGTTTAAATTGTTCTAACAATTGATTAAAATTACTAGACAACAACGATTAGTAGAGCCCGAGATTTTAAATGTATGGTTAAAGTAGGTAGTATAGGACAATTGTCTTCCATGAAAGTGGCGCTAAGGGAAATACTAATTTATCTTGACAAATTCAAGTACATCATGAGTGGCTCTGATAAGAGGATCAGGGTGGGAAGGTGTAGGGCGGAGTACTATATATACCGACCGTTATGGAAACTGCCATAAATATTAAATATCCAATTCTGGTCACTTAAAATGTTAAAGATTTTTCAATTTTCAAATTCCCAAAATTTCTCTTCTTCTATTCATGATCATGTCAAGAAGAAGTGAATCATAAAAATTAAACAATTCTTACCACAGATATCATCTTCAGGGGACTCTTTCCGGCCAATAACGGCACTTTCAGTAACGGATCTCTTTAAAACTTTTGCAGGATTTCTGCAATTATTTTTAATTAGAATTAGATATTGTAGATAAAATAATTAAAAGTTCTGACGAAAATGTGAGGAGTCTCTAAACCGTTGGTCCCAAGAATTGGTAAACTTACATTATGACGTTAATATTTTCTTTGTCCTTCTCATCAGGATTAGAGATTGGAATTATGTCTGTCTCGTAGTATCCTTTTGGAGAGGGCGGCGATGATATGTGCAACGAATTGCGCTGCAAATAAGTTATATATTACGGGTTCGATCGTAACTAAACCGCATATCAATAAAAAAAATCGAATTATAGTTCACGTATGTGGCTTTATTTAATCTAAACTAATCTAATAGTCTAGGTCAGAGTGGCACAAACCAATCAGGAGAGAATATCTAACAGCGCATTATGCACATAACCCCGCTTATAATCAATGAACCCTAGCACTTCACCAACGTTAACGACCCAATATGGATTAACGCGAAATTAAAGTTTCCCGCGATGAAGACTTTTAAATAATGCTAATCACCTTGCTATGATCAGAGGTGGCAGGGCTAGGATCCCTGATAAGATCCACACAGTCCTGAAGACTGTCCTCCTCCTCACACTCTGTCTTAGGAGGTGGACTGATCGGGTCCAGATGTTCTGAACTGCCTCTCTTCTCCGCGTGAACCATAATATCGCTGCTCGTGTTAGACGCGCCCGACCCAGCGTAAGACACGTTGTGTGCACTGCTGCCCAGAATATCCTCACTGTTCCAGCGGGTCTCTCCTGGCGAGAGAGGACGCTCTGGAGAGAGGGGAGGTTCTGGTGAGACCGGGGGCGTTTCATCAGAGACGGGAGATATTGCAGGAGCTTTACGTAACAGTGTATCAGGTGATGTGGCTGTGGCCCGTCGTTCGAGTGTGAATATACGTTCCCGCTGAATGGTGCTTATACCATCGTCAGTGGGCTTGCTTTTACGCTTTGGTTTTATCGTCGACGTGAGTTCTCTGCAGAGTAGATAAAATATTCAGTCCCTTAAATTGAGAAAAAGGTGCATTTGATTAATAATGGTCATCGAAAAAGAGCTGGCTAATTCAGCTTAACTAATTTATGTAAAGAATGGACGGTAAAATCTCATATTTTTCAATGAGTAGGATCGACAAAACATTTAAAAGATGAAAGAATGAACTTACAGAGCAAGATCTTCATCATCGGTATCGAAAGGATTGGTCGACACAGACGGGGCGAAAGATTTGTCAGCTAAGTTCCTATCGCCATTGTCGCAATTGAAAGAGTTGCTGGTTTGCAAAGGATCTTCGACAGATTCTTCACGCAGAGAATTATCATCTGTCGTATAGCTTTCCCAGTATGAACTACATATAGGTTCGTCTTGAAGTCGGAGGCCAGCGGAGAGCGGAGGGGTTCCCGTGTCAAATGAGTAGTTCGAGTTCTTGGAGATAGATCTAGCAGGTTTGCGAGGTCGTAGTTTTTCTGAAATAATAATTAAATTACAGATCAAATAATACAAATATTAAAGATCAAACTTAAGTTAAACAACAAATCACTCGAATGAATATTTAAAAAGGGGATTTATTTAAGAACATCCGTACCAGGTCTAGGAGGAAGAGGGTGTTCCAAGATCCACTTTTGTAATCCTACTCCTGCTGCTAAGATCTTAGTTCTGTGACCAGGTTTAGTCACCCCAACCTTGATCAGAAGTGTAGGTGTCATCCGGGTCATATCACCAAGATAGTCATATCCTGCGTGGGAGAACTGGGCACTGTAGGTGGAGAGACCGAGCGCTCCGAGCCAGTCTTCAACAGATTCTGGGTTAGCTACGAGGAGGTAGTTGTCTTCGTGCAGACAGCTGGCAGATTTCATGAGTAGGCGTCTCTGCTCAGCGTCCGTTATACCCACGTGCTTCAATTCCTGTCGTGTTTACGATATCGTAAGTTTTGTATTCTGAGAAACAACATCGCATCCACCAGAATAAACCTCACAACAAAATTGAAGCCACCAAACTTTAAGGCTAAAATATGTATTTTCGTCTCTAAATGATGCTCTGACGAATGACGTTAGGGTTAAGGATACAAAAAGTCGACATCATAGTAATTTATTCAACTTATTAATGCCAGAAATTTCAAGGAACCTTTCAAACTTAGAGATTTTGCCATGAAAAGAAACAAGTGGCGACCATTTGTGGCGCCTATGTGTCAATTATATGTTTAAGCTAGAGCAGAGTAAGATTATTACATAGGTATATCATTCAAACCCGTCAACATACCGCTTCTGTTATACCAGCCAGAAGGACAGGAGAATCGTATCCAGTATCCAGGAAGGAGCTGAGATGGTGACCGAGACCGATCATATTCAGCCACTCGTAGAGTTGGGCCTGCGCGTCCTCGTAAGACACGACAACATCGGGCGTGGCGAGAAGGCGAGCAGTCTGTTCCGTAACACTTACTCCATTTACCGCTCTGTGGTGAAATTAGTTTAGGGGATGTTCTAACCGATAGTTACTTCTACTACATGACACAAAGGAAGTTTGCATCTTTGAATAGTTAAATCTAGTGAACATGTTCATTGCTTTCCTGACTGTGCGACAATACCCCACCTTATCTTATGTAAATATATACAAAATATTCACACACTTTTATCAAGAAGTGGGACACAAATTCTAATGTTTTTATTACACAGAACTTACAGATTCATTATGCCAGGAGTTTGATGATATAACTGAGAATTCTTGCTTTAAAAAAACATCTCGTCTAAAATTGACCGACTTAGCTGTATGAGCTTCCTACGCTTCATACTACAAGTAAAACGTCCCGCCATGACGGTCACAGTTTAATAGGCTGACAGCTCTACAAGTACTTACACAGAGTGCAGTCTCTCGTTGCCAGGGATAGCCGGGTAGTCAGAGGCTAGACTGTAGAGACTTCCAACTAGACTGCCATAGTGAGATATATTTCTCTCCGACAATACTTGAGATGATGCTCTCACTTGGGGAAAAAGATATTTTAGATATATATATACTTTTTATTGGATTTTAAACGTGAGCTCATAAGGGAGACGTTATGTTATAAATACTTTTTTTAGCAGGTTATTAGGAATTTACTCTATTCAGTTTAAATTCGGAGACTGACTGTAGGTGGCAGGCTTGCAGAGGCTGCTCAATAATTCCAACTTGAACCAAGGCACGTGACCAACTTTCTGCACCTGAAATTGAAAAAGTGAGGGAGGGGCTGACTACGGTGATAGGTGATGAATACCGGTATATGACAGATGTTCCAAGTTCAATGAACTCATCACAAAAAATACATCGAGGAGAGAATAAGAAGTTTGGGAGTGGATTTAAACTGTCCGTTGCATGTGAGAAATATTAGGGGTGCTCCGTACTTGAGTACATACTTGAGGTTAGCACAACCTTCTATTATGACTAATACTGCATGGTCTGATTTGCCGTGCACTTGAGGCGTCCAACACACATTTATGGTGCAGCGTGTGGTCGCCTATTGCCGGTTTTAGTACAACTTGATTAAATTATTGATGACAAAACCAACAAATCCTTTGGTCCTTTGATAAATGATAACAATGCGACGGGATCTTTGTACCAGGTCAATCGATGTAAGTAGAGTCGATCGATAAATTTGATCAATTTAATTTGTGCGCGGCGCGGCGGTAAAACAACAGTTTTGCGCTGATGTTCATATTAAAATTGTTTCCGCCGCGTACGCTTACGCCAGCCAGAAGACCCGAAGTGTTTAAAGGTCGCTCCCTAACGACCTAATTACTTTATCATGTGCTCCATTAATGAGCCTCAATTGCATCTCAATGTGTATTCAGAAGCGGTCTCATTGTACTCACTAGGCTCACAAAGGGGCTCAATCTCGAGAGATAGAAGAAGGTTTCTCACCTGCTTACGAACAACGAAACATCGCCACCTGCCATCAGAATTTTTGGCTATGATGTGTACAAGTTCTCCATGTTTCACGTCCAAATCCGTCAGCTGCTCTGGAATACATTCCTCCATGGCTTGTCCCACCATCGCTTCTTGGTTCGAATATTCTGGGAAATCGATACGATTATTATTTCGGCGTCAAATTCAAATAAAAATGTATCACAGATTTTTACAAGGACGTTAAATTCTGTATAATAATCAGATTCTAATTTCTAAAACTGAATATGCCATATATTCAAGATTAGACACTGTGAAATCAAGACCGGTTCTAATTACAACTAACTCCGCATTACACATGAAACTGAAACACAACCCATTGTTTGCTTATTTAACACAGATTCTCGCCGATATCATCAAAGATCAGATTATAAAGGTGTTAATTCAATTACTACAGGCTCTCAGATTCACAAAGCATGACAAATACTTCAGACCGGCCACCAGTACATTTCACCATTACATCTTACTATTAAGCATGGAGGAGCTAATGGTAAAAAGCTCTTTTCATCGATGGTGAATGAGGCGTAGTTGAGAAATTAGCATGGTGATCAATGTTACCACTAAGTATCCGTATTGATTGCTTGGCTGACTCATTAGCTATTTTTGCAAGGATTGGAGGGTGGTAATAAGTAATTTCCGGTGTAAGCAGAGAGAACACTCGGCCTAAATGTGAGTGTGTTGCGGACACTTGATACCACTACTTGATACCTGCTGGTTATCGTCTAATTATCAACTAATTAACGAAAGTGATGGTGAAGGAGCAGCTAACTACCGGAGGAAAAGCATTTTAAAGAAACAACTGAAAGCGAATTACAGTTCGACAAATCCAACTGGCCACAAATTCAAGTTAGTGTCGGTATGGACATGGTAAATGACAATTTACTCACTCAAAATGATGGCAGCGAGTTTATCAGCAGAGTGAGCAGCACTGAGTTTTTGCGCCACGTGTAATGGTGTCTGTCCGTGCACGTTCTTAATGGTAACGTCCGCGCCGTGGTCACACAACAGCTGGGTCACTTCCAGTCGGCCGTGAAGGACTGCTTCGTGGAGTGCAGTACCGCTCGTACTTTCTCTGTTTACGTTAAACCCGTGTTTCAGCAGCATTCTGAAAATATGATGCATAAAGTTACAGTTAGGGCGCTTCTCACGTGGGACATAAAAACTTCACACGTGGTGTATAAAGTGGAAGTAACACTTCCAGGGTAAAGAATTTAATTAGTTAACACATTAGACGGGTTCTGGTTTTATGTGATAAATATAAGCACTCTAAGGAATGTGCTCTAGACGCTGTTTCCGTATCAGAATAATGTGGAAACATGCGAACAAAATATTACATCCTACATTCTCTACAATAGCCAATTGTTAGTATTGTGGTGAACCTGTGTATGTGACAAACAATGTAACATCCTCGCTCAATATCTAGCTGTGAGGCAAAACAGGAAGGAATGTTTGTTTGTTTGCACGAAAGTTGTAAATTATGAGTGGAAATAATTGGATAAAGGGTAATTGACTAATGATGGAAATATGTGTATAAAGGACAATGCTTCAAATTGACGAAATGAACTCTGAGCCCTAGAAGTTAGAATTGATGTAACTGGTAAATGTTTTAACATATGAAACAATGAGAATTGTTTAGCTACAACGCATGGGACAGACTTGATACTTTGATACATTTAATGTGGCTACTTGCTATACAACTGCTACACCATGCTGACTACAGCGCATTAAGGGATACAGCGTTCCTTGCGGCAGTTCTTGATCTTGGTATAATGAATATAATTACATTATTGTGGCACGTTACAGAATATGAATCGTCGTACCGTAATTATCAAGTCTACTCCTCCAAAAACTAACAGACCATTAGCTAAACTATTGAACTATCATTAATCGTTTCTGCCCAGAAGACAAATCCAGATCCAAGCCCCAGTACCTTCTGTTACATTCTAAACACACGGGTTCAAGCAGTGTAATTCTCTAGGGAATAAGGGGACGAGGCAAGGTAATTATCACTCTATATTTATGAGATCTGATGTATTATATGGGACACTTGGACAGTGTAATTACCCTAATAACATGTCAGGTGTATAATACACGGTGTAATCTCATAATAATCTACAGGGTATTATACAGCATGTAAACCTGGATTATTTACAGTACATGTGCTCCAGGAGGCAGCATCAAGAGTACAATAGAATCTACTCAACCGAAGCCGGAGTAAGGAAGAAATGGGACGTGTAAGCAAAATGGGACCAGGGGACCTTGGATCAGAGCGGTGGCCAGCTAAATGGGAGAGTAATAAACACATACGTGCGAGGGGAATGTGACGTTGCCACCATGGCCATTGTTACACTTATTAATATGGAACATGGTGTTTCCAATTAGGACAACTTGACGCGAATATTCTTTAATTTGTTCGAGGGAGAATCCTTTTGAAATCCTAAACTCTGATTACAGGTCGTGATTACTTGAATAAGTGAATAATAAATCGCGTTTAGACATGACCAGGGGGACATTGTTCAGTTAGTCTGAATTTTTGAGTTTTCCTTTTGAGTGATAGCCTGGTAAGTCTCTGACCAACATTTTGCGCTCAGTCTCGAACTTTGACAAACTATATAACCGTATTAATACTAAGGGTGACTGGACTATAAATTTTAACAACAGCTATAATAAAGGTGCACCGTGCACGTGCACCGCACCGTGCACGTGCAGCCTGGTATTATACTCATTATCCATGTTTTAACCCTCTAGCAGATTTACATGATCTATTTTAGTGGGATCTCTAGTCCGGAAGTGAGTGGTAAAGTGTTCGTTGTTTGCGGTTACTGGTCAGTATAATTTTGATTTAAGAGTGAAGGATAAGGTATAGTATTTGACTAGGCGTGTCATTGTTTTAGCTTTAAAGCTAAAATTTGTGCAACAGCTGCTAGATTCGATCGGTGCTGGCTAGGATTATAAAACCATAGAATCTCCAGAAGGCCATAATACTATGAGTATGATAGTACAACTCTTTTTCTCCCGCTCGTTGTTCGCTAGTCACACATTCTGTTTCTTTTTACCGTTGTGGAGAGAATTAAGCAAAGCCATTGTGCAGTTCAGATCATTATTAAAAGTGAAGATCATAAAATTGTAGAAAATGATAATTCTATAATTCTCCAGCAGCAGATGCAATGGGTAAAGCATTAAGCATATCATATTAAGTACTTTCAACATATTATAAATGATTTGCGGCCCGCTTTTGACCTTAATCTATATTTATTTATATTTCAGTCGAGCAGGTGCACTAACTAGTGTGCACTGGTAAAGGTACTGAGCTGAGTTTACAGCGATAACCTTGCCTTAGCTCAGCTTATTGTGAACTAAGACGGAACTTGTTTTATAAATTATAGTATTTATTCTTAAACCGTCCTATTGTCAAGCACAATGAAAACTCTGTCGGCAATTTTCCATGTCGACCAGGGCAGCATCGACCACAGCTCTGAATTCATGACTAAAGCAGGGCTAACAGACACATCTCACCTAATCCTCTCAATCTACATTTTCCTCGTCCTCCTGCTCGGAATCCTGGGCAACCTCTTCGTTCTCTACAGTTCTCTTAAACACGGAGCCCTCCAACTGGACACCGCCTCCCTCGTTCTAGTCCACCTCCTGGCTGTGTCCGATATTGTGGCTAATGTTCTCATATACCTGCCCATGTTCGTCACCTTGGTGACTAAAAGGTGGGCTCTTGGAAGTGAGATTTGCGGTTTTGTGGGAGTTTTCTTTATTTCACCTCTTCATTGTGACGTCATGGTCATCCTAACTGCGTCAGGTTTGTTTTACACTATTGATGCATATTTGTTTGTAAATATTTTTTTTGAAAAGTTAGATGTTACTGCTGTACTACTAATATCTATTATGATATAATGTTGTCACCAAGTAACCGCCCTACTACAATGTGATGAAAGTGAAAACTATGCTGAATCACTCTACTTCAGTGTACAAAATGTGGATGATAGTAAAGCGGAGTCCCGGTGTTCTGAACACTAATATCATCTACATTATATCAGCTGTAAATGTCATGATATCACTCATACTTCCCGTATACCTAATCTCAGCCGGAATTGCAGGTAATACTGTTCAGCTACTTTTCTTAACTCGTGTTTCCGCCTGTAAGGCTTCCTTCCTTTTAAAACATACACGAAGTATTTAGCTCGTGTTATAAAACATTAAGTAAGAATTGTGTATCATAACAGTATAGGTTTTTACTATTTACTTATTTATGTAGATGATATAGTGACAGCAGATGTATTTATGTAGATGATACAGTTCTCGAACGTCTGTAACCCACCCACCTCCCAGAAGCCGGAGGGGAACTAACAGTATCATTTGACGCACAGAACATCCAGTGTTTCTCCAGCAACATGTTCCCCGGACGTCCACACAGCACCTTCACCATGTTCTACATAGCCACATTACTGGGCCTCCCCCTCCTCCTCATCCTCTCCGTGAACCTCTCCATAGTGGTGATAGTGTGGGTAACACGCCGGAAAGTGGGACGGGGAATACCACGACAAACCCTGGCAGTTCTGAGTGCGGTGTCGTGGTTGTTCGTGTTGTCTTATGTGCCGGTGATTGTAATGGCGGTGTGGTTCCTGGTAGCGGACAGTACCCCTCCTGCCTGGTTCCAAGTGTTCCTCATGTGTTCGTTAGGACTGAATATCAGCTGTAATCCCCTGGTGTACGCTGCTTCCAACAGAAGGTTCAGGAGATTTGTAATGGTGTTGTGTCCGTTTACAAGTAATAGAGTTACCTCAAACTCTGTGCAACCTAGCAGATCTTAGACATGTAACACAGAGTCACGACTGACGAGGGAACAGATACATCTTGACTCTTGAAATCTAATTTTCTACGTCTTTACTCTTGGAATCGAATTTTCTAACTCTACAAACTTACTAGTCCTTTTGATACATAAATACGATCAAGTCACGATATAGTTTTGACGCCAGTGATATTTTGAAAATGAGGATGTAACAGTATTTCGGTCCCATCTTCACGACTGAAATAAGTCAAAAGCTGCCCAAACTGCGTACAGCTCCTGAGATAGGTTCCAAGAAGCTGTTAGTACTGTGAGATTAGTACTAACCTTTAACAAGTTACAACTGTGAATAATGACAACACTTCCAGCCTGGTACCCACAGGTAGTATCAGTGTTATAATATGGCTTTACTTTGTCACATGATCGGGCCCGGTTCACTCAGGTTGTAAGATGTTTTGCGGTCTGAAGTAGAACCAAACTGTGCACATTCCGATAAGGCTTCAGTTGGCAAACCCTCTGCAAAACAATGCCAACTTCCGTGGTTGTTATATCCGTAATAAATATGCACCTGGGCCCTCATTCCTTGGGAAACCTGGCAAATACCAGCTAGTCTTTTGAAGGGGACAAACAGAAATAATCACCTTTAAACTTTTAAATCATCTTATTTTTCAAAATATGCCTCTGGAACCTCTAGTTCATAGAATTGACTTCTTGAAATATCTTGCAGGGATTTTAGATAATCTAGGCTGAGTTTTTATTTTGTGGTAAAAATTATATTCTGAAGAAATGTTATATGTCTTCTGTAATCTTACTCCGTGGAAACAATGTAATATGAGATAGAATTTAAATATTACAATCGTTTTTCTATTGCTATTTTGACTTTTGAAAGCTTGCCTTAAAAAGTACAAACTCTGTACTTTTTAAGGCAAGCTTTCAAAACTCAAAATAGCGATAGAAAAACGATTGTAATTTTTTAAATTCTATTTCATTTTTCTCTTTTTAAATTTATCTGCTCTTTGTGTACTACAAAGAGCAGATAAATTTAAAAGTGCTTCTATTTATAGTGTTGGAAGCAAGCCTACCAAAACACACCATACCATCAGCTAGAAATTTAAAAAGCGCTCCGGACGGTCAACTCCACAGGGAAATCTAATTAGCAGCACATGTCAGAACATGAGAGAGTGATGAGTAATTGTATCAAAATATTACATGTCACTCAGCACTTTAACTGGCTTCGTCTAACCCCACATATTTAGGAACAATGTCTAAACCTCGGTTAATGCTTTAAAGGTGAATTAAATTATGATGTTGTTATGTGATTTCCTTTATATGTTATATGTGATACATTTGCTGATAATGTTTATCAGATTACAATGAGGACGAATTATTCAGAACGATGATAATAGGATAATAGTATTATAATATATGCAGATTCTATGTCATGATTATTGATAACTGACGCTGATGTATTAACGTAATACAAGATATTATGGATTGGCAGAAGTGTTACTTCCCATACTGTCAGAAGTTCTTGAGAACCAAGTATAATGGTCTCAGAGGAAATGTTAAAACTTTAAAACTTACGTTTAAAACTTATGTTTAAATGCTTTACAAAACGGCTCTGGTTACTATCGCATCTAGTTTATTAACTAATTACACCTTTCAATGCATTAAAAGTATCTTCATCTTAACCCCGAATAAAATACTAAAATATCCCCAGTATAAAAGTATAAAACAATTTATTCCTCATATTTCTAGAGTCTAGACCCATCTGGTAGACTATGTCTCACATTTCCCAACTGAATTACACACATCTCACACTACGAGACTAGTGTGTAGGAGTTAACCTGGCCGTCTTGTCACGGTTGGTCGGACTACAGATTGTGAAACTTAGTACAGCTTTTCACGCAACATGATGAATTAACATGACAAAGACAAAGTCACACTACAACTCAGCAAGCTGCGTGTAGTGTAACTCTACCAGAGTACTTCACAGGTCAGAACGTGGTCATTCTACAAGCACTTCTACAAGCAGTTCTCCAAGTTTCAAGGAGGTTCTTATTAAAAAACCACAGGTTTAGAAGTTTCTACAACTAGGAGGCATGCTAATCTGGAAACGGTGTTTGGATAAGTCCAGATAATTAGTAATTAATTAACTAATCAGTATTTTACTCACAAGCATGTGTCCGTGTGTCCTTTACGAGCTGCCAGGTGTAGAGGAGTAGTTTGAGTCTTGTCGTGTCGAGCAGCTACTGTACCCATAGTTAGGAGAACGCTGCTGTGAGTCTGTAGGAACAGGGCTGCTACCTGGGGGAGACAGTGTTAAAAAGAGCTGCTAATTGGTAATTAATTAGTTGTTAATACACAACTTACAGTTAATTGCTTTAATTTTAGTGGGTTTTCAATCCATTTGTTGTAGAGTGCTTGCTGTTCTTAAATAAATAGGCTAAAATATGTAAGAAGGGAGATCTAATTACAGGAAAACGCAAACGTTGTTGTAAAAGTTACGAGTTCTTGTCTGGTTGTTAATCTTAGAATTTTGCCACTTGGTTTTAAAATTTTAAGTTTAGAGTATCGTTTTAAACAAATTTACGCGACGGTGTGAATGTCCAACAATAACGAATCGTGACCAAACACAAAAGTAATTGAATCTTGTTTAAAGAACCCTAACTCACAACCTACTCTTCAGAACAAAAGAAGAGACACTGTCTCTAAACATCAGATAGAGCTCCATTTAAAGTATCCGGAACACTAATTGTCATCAGAATGTACTCCTAAAGTAAGATAGTAGTATTCCTAAAATGTACAGAAAGTTTACTGTCTGGCTGCCTCTTCATGTTTGTTAGGCACGTTCTTATGCGACTCCGTTAGCAAAACAGTTCCCAAATCTTGTGGGTTACTTCCACAAATTCGATTTTAAGAGTCTGTGTGCGGTTTACTGAATCAATCTATGATTTATGTAACGTAGAATTTGTGGCCTTGATAACGCACTAGTTTGCAAGTATTATTTACTTCACGGTGCATGCCGACCAGGGATCGTAAATCTCCGATATTTCAGTGCCATTTTTGAGGCATTTTAAAAACGATGCTTGCTGTAGACGAGCAGTGAGCTCAGAGAGAATGGACCATAGAGAATGATCTCTATAGCTACGTGTTACAACGGTTTTATCATGCTGCTACGTACATTGCAGAAAATAAACTGTATACCGAGGTTATACTTTCTACAGCAGTATTTTCTTTATCGCTAGTACGAAATACTGCGAAATACTACGAATACTTACTAAGTCAGGGAAAACGATAATATAAATGGATCTCTGGCGAAACTTGCATTGCAGTATAGAGTAAATAGGTTATATCAATTTCATTTTCAGAATGGACAAAGTTCAGAATTTATTGGGGTTTGCATTGGTTGTTGGACGGAATACCTCAACTTCGGTTCAGGCGAATTATGACATATCATGATTCAAAATCATTGACCAGGCTGTAAATTGGAAAGCTCTTTCTTAGCTTCGGCCGTTTACGGACATTCTCAGTTTCAAACAGAAAATAGAGTCACATAAGTTAATGATCCTCCGGATCTAATAACCTCATCAATTTCAACCACATTTCATTCGAAACTTCATCAATTCTACCTACATTTGTTTCGTGTGACTGCCTCCTGGGAAACTCGATATTTATTACTAGTGATCTGCTGTGAGCCCTATATAATATCATTGATTTGCTCAGCTAGACTGTGAAAATGTGGTTTTACACGGCCCGGGAATTGTGTTATTGTATCACTATTTTGTGAGGTGTCAATAGTTGCTGAGTTTTAGAACGGACAAACGGGTACCTCATACCTCACACCTCATACCTCATACCTCATACAGATTATACCAACTCAAACTCTGGACAGTTCGATCTATTAAGAGGTCAACATTTGGGCGTTTAGTTCATAGAACATATTTTGTTTAGTTCAAAAGAAATGGTATTTAGTTGATGAAATATTTGAGGACAAATATTTAAAACCGTGCCTCTTACCTGCCTCTTATCCCCAACATTCCAACTCTTGTACAATCAAATTGTATGCTGGTATCTAATTTTAGCCCAGAAAATGAAACAATACCTGTTTCCTTTAAAACCCAGCACCTATAATACTACTATAGATCTGGATAATGATAGATAGGTGTATCGTATCTTTTATGAGACCTGACAGTGATTCTGGGATTTGATTGGTTGCTGAAAGGTTAATCATTGTCACGTGTCAGACTAAATCTGGCTCACCTCCCTACTAGTATCCAAATCTATTTATAGAATCCAAATACAAGCTTTAATTAAACACTGACTAAACCCTACGCTCTGTTCTCACTCTTTCTACTGAAAATCACACGCAATCAAATTTGGTAGCTTTCACGCCGCATCTTTATTTCTGAATAAGTATATTATAATCTCTTAAATTAACTTATTCTAGGAAAGTGTGCATATTAAAATGAGATGATAATTAGGCGCATTCATAAATAGACGTTTTAGGATACTTCCGGATATTATTATTCTATGACACGATTTGTTTTCTCAAAGGAAAAATAAGCTCCGTCCACGGTATTCAACCTAATCATATGTAGCGTGCATAAGTCTTGACACCTCTTATCGACAAAGATTACGAAAAAAATCGCACCGTTTTAGACTTTTAAAATTCTAATCACATTTAAATGCTGCGAATTGGCAAAGTAATATATTATCAGGAACTCCAACACGTATAGTATTTGATTCGCATACTCGGCAGTATATTACAACATATGCCAATAATAAACTGCCAACGAGTCAATGACACAGTCACTTACGTTAATAAATGTCACAAAAAATGACAAGTGATTGATATCTGAAGACTTGCGTCAGAATAGGAAGCCTATAATATTAAAGCAGGTCATATTTATATTATATTATATAAAATATTGCATAATATAATGCATACACATAATATTATAGTATTCAGTAACCAAATATATTTTGCCATTTTTTGTCAGATCTATAACTATTACCACTTATATTTAAGCATGGGTTCATTGCACGCGTTAGCACTTGACGAGTTTTAAATTTTTTACAATTTTTAGTTCAATCACACCTACCAAACCTAACCTCTTCGATCGACAATTCCAGCTCAACGGCTAACCAATACCCACCGAACATGCAACCAGTAATATAATTATCGCCACATTTTCACACATCTAGCAGAGAGCCCCAGCTCAAAAGCACATTGTAGAGCCTGTGACAGGTGGCACAGTGAGGTTAATCTAATGTAATATTGTGAGTACTACTGACTACCACCTCACATATCTTTACTCTTCACCTCACATATCTTTACTCTTCACCACACAAATACTTTACATGCACAGTTTAACATCAAGAGTACAAGAGAGAGAGAGAGAGAGAGAGAGAGAGAGAGAGAGAGAGAGAGAGAGAGAGAGAGAGAGAGAGAGAGAGAGAGAGAGAGAGAGAGAGAGAGAGAGAGAGAGAGAGAGAGAGAGAGAGAGAGAGAGAGGGGGAGAGGTGTTAAGAGGCGTGGTGTGTACGTGATCTCTAAGAAGTAAGAAGTAATGAATGAGAGGTTATTGTTGTGTTATTATTGCGAGGATGATTATTACTGTTAGTCATCAGTACTAGTGACAAGTGCACACGATTAACAAATAACAAGTTATAAGAGAGTTACATTAGTAAGTAAACTGCATGTTTAGAGACGGTCAGAGGTGAGCTGCTGATGATTTGCTTCGTTAATATTCAAGTTAAATAAGCAACTCTTAATAGCCATCAGGTTCTTGTTAATTCAACTAATCGTGCTACTTTATTAATAACTACTGTGTGATGGTTCATTGGTTATTTGTTTACAATCTCAGTCTTAATCTCAAGCAACAACAAACTGCTTTAATTTATAAAACAGTTCTAATTCATCATTGGCGAATTATTGGAGGCGAAAATTTACAATCGCTACTTGTGTAGGAGCACTATCGTGTCTACTGAGTGTTTTTTCAGGATCCATCTACCATACGAAAAGTATCAGAGTTATCTCTTGCTAATTAGCAGTGGCAACTAACATATTGTTTGTACACTGCACCCAGCACTAAGTTTAAAACCTCCCAATGCGTTGAGTGATGACATTTAGTGGTTGTTGTCTATATTACAAGATAGTGGTTTACTCCCAGGCTTCCTGCACAGACAAATCCTAGAACTGCACCCCAGCAACCATCTTCAGAGAACGCCCCTCACACATCTTTCATTCAAGACAACCGGACAGTCTGCATTGGATTGAACACCTTGGTTTAAAATAAACTTATCAAGTGTTTGATGTATTGATAACACGGAAGCAAGGGTGGAGTTCAATCCTCAAAATTGAATCGCAGCATTGAGGCTTCAGCAGCATTCTAGAGTATTCCATTCTACAATATTACATGCCAGGACTTAAGAGAGCAATTCCGTAATTAACTAGTACTTGAACAATGCATATTATGTAGAATCAGAGCCTAATGAGTAACATGTAAAGGATTTTAATATGTTTGGTGATGATACCAATCTGCAGAAGGATCGCGAACTTTCAATCTACGACCGGTAAAGGGACCACTGGCTCAACGCCCCTTATCAAGTGTTAAGATTGTTATCATCTAGTTCGGTGCCACATCTATTGAGAAGGCCGTTAAGCACGTACAACAATTGTTGAAACATTTTTTTTCTCCTCTCAGTATTGAAACTGTTTTAAGACTGTTACTAATGAATTAAGACGAACGGTATTGTTTACAGGATTTTCTGGCAATGCGGATTGCGGAGGTCACTAGTACCTATATTAGGGCCTGTATAATTATAGGCTAATAATTTTTGCTCCTAGCGTTTTTCATAATAGGAATTTAATAAGGAAACCTGGACCCAGTAGCCTTTAATTCGATTGAATTTCTGTCATATATATTGCATTATGATTGATATAATATGTCATATTAAGACATTAATAATATAGGTTTAGTTATTTCCTGTTCATCTAAACTATATCAAGGAAACAACTTACAGTTAAGTGTGTTTATATTTTCTATTTCTTCTGCAGACCACAAGTTTGATGACTTTACCAGCTCATTACAACGACTGACAGGAGCAGGTACCTGATTATAGGAAAGTAATATCTTGCTTGGGACCCACAGGTTCTCCTCTAAAACAAGACCCATAATGCCGTCTAACATGTCAGCTTAACCTTCAGTAGCAGACAAGAAACCTTCAGTAGCAGACAAGAAGCCCTTCTAACATCCTGGACAGGCTGGTTTGAGTGTCGGACCGAGGTACTGTTGCTTGTCTCATGTCTCCCCCGACTACACTTCTTTCACCTGATACCCACTTTTTCTCAGGCCTCCTTACAAGGTATGAGGTATGTCATACAGTCACCTGACTCATTCCTCATTAACATTTCAACATTTTTAGTTTATTTGTTATAGCGAACATATTATCAAGATAAGATAGTCGGACAGCGTGCTTATTTAATAGTCTGAGGTTAAAATTAGGTATTCAAATCTTTAAACAGGTCGGACAGGTTGGTAAAACTTATGAAACCACAATGAACTAGATCAGAACTTCTTGAAATTGTTACATTATGTTATAAAAACAAAACTAATTAAATATTCTCATAATCCTCTAAAAAGCTAATTACTATGGAACCCTCTCTTCATCTCCACCACCCCCTTCTCAACACAACACTCGAGTTAACAAGCTGCACGTGGTACCGTACCTTGCTGTGTCCGTATCACGTGGTACCGTACCTTATTGTGCCCGTATCTCGCCCGCATGAACCCCTGTACCGGGGTTCTCCGGAACTAAGAACTATACCTCCCTCCCCCATTACATGCGGCGTTTGGTAATTGTTTTAAGTTAACGTCATACACGGTGTCCGGAGAATATTACTCCTAACCCAACTACTAAACTGTGGTTCTGACACAGTTCTGGTGATGAAACAAGGTTTTGTACGCTACAGAGGGGGTTTTAAGTGCTATATGTGGTGTTTTAAGTACTACCAGCTCCCAAGAGAAGTGCTGTAATTAGTCGTGTTTCAGGGGATTGAGGCGCGAGACAGCTCTCCTGCTCTCTCATGTCAGGATGCCAGGTAGTTTTAATCCGACAGTAATGTTTTAGTTGCACGTGCTGATAGAAAGTTGCACGTGCTAGATAATGATATAGTTCTCACCTTGCTGTGACCGTAGAGACACGCCACGTCCATGGGTGTGAAGCCTCTGCTGTTCATAGCCGTCATGTCCACCTTGTACCTTACTAGCTCGCGAACCTGACAGAGGGTGGTGGGTTAGGGGTAGAGTCACGGACATGGATATAATGGACAATTAATTCCTTTAATGGAGAGTTAATCAGGTTAATGTGGTGAAGTTATGGATCTTAAAACCGAGCCCTGAGCTGTTGAGTGATAACCGTCATCTGTCCTGAGGTAGTCCGAACGAAAAAGTGAAATAACATGTTTAAACGGCTTCTCTAATAACACAGAAAGAGAGAGAAGAAAGCAAAGAATGTGTAATAATATCTCACGAGACAAGTGACAGCACACTAAACTGCAGGTATGACTCACCGCTACTAGGTTCCCAAACATGGCTGCCAGATGTAGCGGACTGTTGTGGTGGATGTCCTGCAGGTTCACTGGAGCTCCGTACTTGACCAACATCTCCACTACCCCCTCTGTTTTATTGTGCATGGTAGCGTAGTGGAGAGGTGTCTGTCCTCGGCCCTCCTTGATGGTGGGGTCTGCACTGCAGATCAGCAGGTCTTCTATCATGGACACGTCCCCCACTGTGGCAGCGAAATGTAGACATGTCCGCCTGGGAGAGTGTTGGGTTAACTATCGTTGTGAAATGTTAGGTATATTTTATTTGGGCTAGTGGTGACTGGTGATGGCAAAATGCAGGGGATATTTGGGTTAGTGGTGGTTGGCAAAATGCCTCAAATATGGGTGCGGTAGGTGAGTTCGAAAATTAGTAACGGCTACGCCAACACGGCAGTCTATGATTTTAGCAGAAATAATCCAGTAATAATTATACTTCATTACTGCCGGCTATAATTTTAGTAAGTAGAAATAATCCTATAATTATAATACTTTACGGCAAGTTTCGACCGCTGGATATTTATTACGCAAGTTTCGACCGCTGGATATTTATTAAGTTATTACGCCCACTTTTAGAATATTGCAGAAAACCACTTTCTACCCAGGTAAACGGTAAGAGTTGTTTCAAAAACAGGTTTTGTCGATAATAATACAAAAAATATTTCATTTTATAAAGCAGCCTTTTTATAAAACCCCTAGGCCCCTTTCCTGAGGTATCTAATTTAATCTTCTAGAATATTCCTTTCAAATTAAATTAAATTACGGCTTAAAGCAATCGTCTAGATCGTGACAATTGCATGGATCCAACCATTTGCGTTATTTTAATTACAATAATCATCCAAGATAATGCTCTACCGGCCACGTTGTAAATTTCACAACGTACTCACGTCACTAGATAGTTTAGAGCTGGAGATTGTTTTTATTGTAACGGAAGGAAATTGTAATAATAATAATTTGTCGGTTATGTAGAATATTCTAATAAAAAGTAAAAGATCCCGTACTTTACTATAATATCTAATATTTATCAGGCACAATGCCAAACCCTGCATGAGCTTTAACACCCATTAGGATTTCTCACAAGGTAGGTTCTGGAAAACTTATTTATAGAAAGATAGAACCGCTTCTGACGGATTGTTATGCTGGACAGTGAATGAGAGAACGTCTCCTGCAACACACTTGACATGTGCAACTGGTAAAGCAGGGACATATGTTTCCTTGATGTTGACAGACAAACACTAACGATGAAGGATATATGTCGAACATTTATCATCAACACTTTTCGTTAAAAATTAAGCTAATTCTCTGTTAAAAGTGGATATATATGTTAAACTTGGGTTCACGGGTGGAAACCGCATAACATCGATTGATGGTAAATGAAAAACGGCGAGCTAGCTGGCCAAAAAAATTTGGTACAACCATTAAATCACTTTTATTGCCCAAATCCCCAATTTTATAACATCAACGCGCTTTGATCAACGAATTAAAGCCCAAAAGCTTAGAAAGAATCACGTAGAATATACTAATAGTACCAGACACACTAAATTGTACACTTGGACATAATAACATCAACCATTACATCAAAAATACTCGAACAAGTACTCTCAGTTAACCAACTAGACGAAAATTCAGAACTGCAGTGCAAGTTTTCATCACTGTGGACATTGGCCTAAGACATCCGGCCTAACACCGTTCGCTAAATCAGACAAGTGCTTTGTACCTTAAATTTGCGGCGAGGTTGATTCGGAGACGGTGTCTCACACTTTCTCGGACTATGTTTTCCCGGGCTATTGGCCCAAATAGAGCCAGAGTTTTGTAGATTATACTTTCTTTTGATTCCAATGACTTGGTTTATTCGGGGTTTACAGACGACATCTCCACTCAGTGTCAAATTTACAAACCACGCTTATACGTTAAATTGGTAGCGGGAGGGTAATATGGACCTAAGAGTATTAATAGCGATACTATAAACGGCTGTTTGGGTTTCGCAAGCGACATTTTCCACATTCAAACCACCACTTAAACCTTTAATCTAATAACACACCCTACACACGTACGTATCTTCCGAGATCACAATCGAATACTTTGATTCTTGTGCCCTAGAACAGAACTGCATACACGGGTTTATTCAAATGAATCCAATGTATATTCGGTGGGGCAAATCCAGCCTACCAAAAAAAAAAAAAAAAAAAAAAAAAAAGATTATGATAGTACCTTTCCCGCGGTGGTTCGTCCGTAGTTGACTGTTGATATAGATAAAATACGTGAAGCTCAGTTTCATCTTCTCCGCTTAGCTACGAAACAGACTTGTAGTTCCCAAATCATGGGGCATGTACATTGGTATTATATCCCCTGTAAAAATCAAGGCTGGATAAATAATTAATATTGAACGTATTATGCTCAGTAATTAATAATACCCTATGAATGGATTTGATAAGAAGAACGTAAAGAAAGCTTTAGCTTAATAGATTAATAAAAACACCTGTTGTAAACTAACTATATTTGTAATCACTTGGAAATTCAGTAAAACTTAATTCGGTTGAGAAGGCGCCACTTCATATGGATCTCTCAATCAACAATTACTGGGGTTATTATAGTAGATTTATAGGTAACTCCCAAACATTGGATTATAGACGTATAAAACTCACCTACCGCGTGGTGATTTTTTACAGAACTAGGGACTTGGCCTACACCTTTGTGCTCTAGTACTCTCCGGAATGTAACCTAAGACGGTTTTGAAATTGACTTAACGTTTGATGTTAAGGCCACAATGATTTTTGGGGAGGTTTTGTGGGGCTGGACGTCTCACAGTTTATTAGGTGTTGACACTGTTTAAATTACAGTATTGTTTAGTGTTTGGAAGTTGTGGCAAAATGTGATATACAAACGAAAAGCACAGGAGGTAGGTATATTAATTAATGATTAGCAACATCAAATGATTTGCATTTAATACGGAAGGTTAAACTGAACCGACCGATTGCACAACGTCATTCTTAGCATTGTCATGAAATGTATCAAAATACACACCTTGAATCAGATTAAAAACGGAGAAATTTAAAATATCCAATTTTTTCCTGAGATAAGTATTTGACGTCATGCGCAAATCACCGTCAAACCAAGTGTCTGGAAAACTTTTTCCCCAATTTCTTCCGCCAAGTCTAACTCTCTCTCCTCCCATTTCTTCTCTCACTCTTCTCTACTCTCATTCTTGAATCTCTCCAGTAAAATTTCTCTCTCTTCTCTCTCCTTCTCTTCGAATATCACCCAAAATTCCGAACTAAAATTTTAAACATTCTAGTCCCAGGATAACAATGGCACTCTGAGATATGAATACAAATTTCGGGCTGTTATAACATACATTTTGCGGTGATTATAAATATCGCTGAATATTTAACGTAAATGAGTATATATTAAGTACCACATAAAAATAAGGAAAAGAGGACTTGAAGAAAAATGGTGTTTCAGTTAATAATGACTAGAAACCAGATATGTTTAACCACACTATACACACGACTTTTATATGTGTGTGTTGGCAACAAACGAATGTAGCACACAAATCTTATACAGCTGAACCATTGAAGTCATCTTAGCTTGTCCGCTACACTTGAAGCACCAAGAGAGTGAGAAGAGGAGAAGAGAGGAGAGGAGGGGAGTAGACGAAAGGAGTGGAGGAGAAGAGAGGGAGAGTAGAAGAGGATGAGAGAGAAAGAATAGAGAGGCGGGAGAGAGAGAAGTGAAGAGTAAGTGAGCAGCGAAATGAGAGAGAAGAGAGAAGAATACAGGAATGAAATGGAATCGATTGATGAAGAGAAGAAGAGAAGAGACGACTTCTAAGCTGTAATAATGCAATTAATGAAAAAACACATGTTTTTCCAAAAACTACTCCATATTTTGATCCAATTCCAATTTCAAAGTAGTTCAGTAAAAGTTCGCATGGTCCAAAAAGGGCTTGCCAGAGACTCAGTGCCCCGCCAAGACCTTCAGGGTTATGGATCTCGCCAACTATCTTACACAATTAGCTGAGTGTGCATTTATATGTAGATTTATTAGGAACTCTGCCAATAACCTCATTGGACAAAGTTCTAGTATGATCGATAAGAGTACTCTACCTTCCCACCCGACCCTGTAAGTGATTATAGAAACTCTGGGAGTTGACCTGACTCACCCTTGTTGTAAAGATACTCTAACGTAGCCTCTCTGGGATTGTAGACCTTAACTTCTGGTCTCTTGAAACAGTGACAAAACATGGCATGTTAAGTTAGAGGGGCCACATGACCATGTTGGGAGAGGATGAAGACATTTTGTGGGCGCTGGAGGCCGTCCTTCACTCAGCTTTATTAGTGTGAACTGTTAGTATTAGCAGTATGTGACTTTAGTGTGTTGTGGGAGTGTGGCAACTGTGATATAAATATAATGCGGGACAAATTGCAAATACGGTAGGACTATTCGAATAAAGAAAAGGGCAAACGATCAGCAATGTGCCATTCAAATAAAGGATAGGTCAAACTAACACCGAGGCCGATTGAACAACAAAGCAATTACTTGAGCTTGACAGACTATGACAAACAACACACTCGGAAATCAGATAAAAACCGGAGACAAGTTAAAATATCAAGCTGTTTCCTGAGATAAAGTTTCAGTACAGTACACTGTACAGTACACTGTACAATACACCGGTTACTAAACCAATACTGTCTGGTAAACCAGCCCTCTCTCTCTCTCTCTCTCTCTCTCTCTCTCTCTTTCTCTCTCTCTCTCTCTCTCTCTCTCTGCTGCACCCTTACCCTCACACCCCTCGGAGTTAAATTACCAGAGAGAACTGAGAAATGTTTTAAAATTTTCTCAGTTCTCTCAGGTTATAACAAGATGGCACTCCTGTACGTATACTGGAGATGGTACAGACAGTTGCAGTAAACACTGTGACCCTGTATTATAACAGTAATCTTTCTGCGGGGGGTTGCACTGTTATAATACACCTATTCAGCTGTGTGTTTAACACTGTTATAACTGTTCTAGCTATATATGAAGATACCAATTAGAGACCACTTCCGACAGTAAATAGAGCCGATCTCTGAACTGTACCACGTGGTGGTGGTTCTAGGTTAAACAGCAGTGTCTAGAAAAACCAGATAGCGTGTTTAAGACACAAACAGTATACAAGAGGACTGTATTATATTGTGTGTGTTGGCAAACAAAACGAGATGTTGAGCAGCACAAAATATTATACAGGACACACATTATGAGGGTCATAACTAGCTTGTCAACACTTGAAGCACCAGAGAGAGAGAGAGAGAGAGAGAGAGAGAGAGAGAGAGAGAGAGAGAGAGAGAGAGAGAGAGAGAGAGAGAGAGAGAGAGAGAGAGAGAGAGAGAGAGAGAGAGAGAGAGAGAGAGAGAGAGAGAGAGAGAGAGAGAGAGAGAGAGAGAGAGAGAGAGAGAGAGAGAGAGAGAGAGAGAGGGAGAGAGAGAGAGAGAGAAATGTCAAACTATATATTATATACAAGCGCCAGTTCTCGTAAGTTTCTTTACTGACACTAGTGTCTAAATGTCCTGAGTTAGCTTGTTCTACTGGAACTGATGGCTTAACTGGAAGATTCCCTTCTACACGATTTTTTTTTTAATTGTAAAGAAAACGAAGATAGTCGTGTAAGGGGGTCTCCTCTCTCACACGGGAGAGAGGTGATATCATCAAGTAGTGCCAGCAAATGCAACCCAATAGAGCAACTGTAAGTATTCCTACACATAGTTGCGGAGCGTGAACTAAACACATTCTACGCATAGTTCTGAAGCCGAGACCAGTACGCAGTTGTTGTGTGTCAATTCACTATTCATGTCCGAGACTCTCAGAAATCATAACATCATCACGCACATATCAAATTGTTAAGTCATGTTCTAACTGCTAACGAATCTAACAACGCACACTACTACTGACAGAGCTGGAGCCTCGAATATTGAAACCATAGAAAACTGGTCCGAATCAAAACGCCTTCAGAGAGCAAGGTAGTTGGAGCGTACATTCCTTGCATTTCATTGACAATTGAGCACAACCTAACAAAGAACAAGGATAAGAGAAAGGGTGACAGCTGCAAATAAAAGATAGTTGTAATCTGGCCTTAGATTGAACGTTGAGTACTGTGAGTCTGTGACAAGTGTCCGGTGATTGGTGGACTAATATCATAACAATATCACCGCACTCCTAAAAAGGTAGCAGTTTTTAAAAGGAATAGTTGCTGCAGTCTTATTGTGATCAACTGCAGACTGTACAAATAGTTTAAGAAGAAGATGTACGTACTACTCAAAATACCTAACTTAAACGGAATGATGAATGAACACACAGGACTACTCAATGAACAATGGAAGCGTCTAGCGGGCGCTACTACTATCAGCAGTGTCTCCCCCCACAGCACTTTATAACACACTATATAACATTATCAACAAGACAACACACTACAACTACTGTCAAACTAGTGGCAGAAACCTGTCAAATCAGATACTTCCTCTCTGATAATGGACCACAAGTTACAGGTCCACAGTAATAACACAATGTCGTAATGACACTGTGTGGGTAACCAGTAACCACAACTAGTGACTAACTACCATTTGACACAACTTCTAGCTTCCCTAGTGCTTCATGACTAGTGCTTCATGTCTAGTGGAGTAGTGTCTTGACGTCGCGACACACGAGTGAAGGGTACAACTGTGGGAAACTTTAAGACAGTTCTCGGAAAAAGGACTGAATACCTACAAAAGTCTAGTCAGACTGGCAGTCAGGTGACAGTGATTGGGTATGTTATGCAGTGGTACCCAATCAGGAAGCTCTATCAATGAAACTAAGTAAATACTAACAAGAAACGTAAGCTGAGAGAGTCCCTGTCAGCAAGACTAGCTGTTCTAGTAGCAGGACGAGGTAGTAACTACCACTGAAATAGACACTGACAACAACCCGGCCCACCAACCATCAAACAACCCTACTATTTTAGTGGCCTGCACAATGACATTAACTGACACTAACTAAATCTATCATTAGATTACAAACAATCCCAGTAGGGTGTATTCCTCAGTCAGAGTGAGCTAGAGTCCAGCCACCCCGACTAACTGCCATGTTTTGAGTACAGTAAACGAATAAAAAAGAGCACATATTGTGCGAGCAATATGGGTAATATCTTGGGAATATCATCTAGAATGGTTTGACCATATTGGGTGTTATAGCTGGTCAGTGGTCCCTTAAACTTAGATTAATGAGATATCGTTCAGAACAATTCAATATTTTTGGGAGAGTGCGGTAGATTTAGCAGCAATATGTTCACTAATGATATGTGCCCTGGACCAAACCTTGGTGCTATTCGTAACGAAAGGGAGTACAAAATGAATTGTTCTGCAGTGACAGATGGTAAACGTTTGACTGGTGGTAAATGTTCAACTGAGAGGTGAAATCTGAATACAATAAGTGAAATCAGCATGCTGTTTTAAACAAAAGAAAAGCTACGTACGACTGTGAGGATGGCGACAAATGATATTTATAATCCGGAAAAAAGACTGATGCCAACGTGTTATTATAGAGATAGAGATATGGCCAGGGATATGTAGGCAGAATGGGTAAACAGTCGACAAAAGCAAAAAGCAACCATACAGACAAATTTAGAGGTTCATTAAAATGTTCCCATGAAACCAATATTTCGGCAAGCATGGGATTAGTGGAGCTGTATCAGGCATCATGCAACATCTTCAATAATCAAGGAATTGAACAACATGTATTGCTGCTGAGTCATGAGTGTCGACATATTGGGGGCCGTATTAAATACTAATAATATATTATCATTCGTTTCACATCGAATATGCGACATCTTTACAAGATGAAAGAGCAAGAGAAAAGAAATAATGATATAGTACACAACAGCTTACAGCATGGGCAAACTATAGAGCTACCACAACCAACCACCAAATAAATGTAGATCGGATCGGGTCGGTCAATCCTTGAAATTATGGCTAAATTAGACGAGCTGAAGTGTCTCAGTTAATTGGAAGATAAGAGGAAAGCATTTAAACAAGTCTGTAGCGCTCTGTATATCAAGTAATTAGCAATATTATGCCTTACTACCCTGCGTGCCTAACACATGATTGCTCTCAGCTGGTGGATACGCCTAGGTACTGGATAAATTGGTAGATAATAGATTACATGGATACTGGGGGGGGGGTGACATGTCTCCAATGTCTCCAATGTCTTTTGTCTTTTTTGAAAAGATAGGGTGCAGAGACGTGTCCTGGAGACATTGGAGACATTGGAGACACAGCTTTTGGAGACATTGGAGACATTGGAGACAATGGAGACATTTGAGACATTGGAGACAAAGCTTTTGGAGACATTGGAGACATTGGAGACACTGTAGACGTAGATGTATGATTGGAGAAGGAGGAGGATCTAGGAGGAGGATGACCCAGGAGGAGGACTCAGGAGGTGAAGGAGGAGGATGAGGACTCAGGAGGAGGACTCAGAAGGAGGACTGAGGAGGACTGAGAAGGAGGAGGACTGAGGAGTACTGAGGAGGATGGCTGAGGAGGATGGCTGAGGAGGATGACTGAGGAGGATCAGGAGGACCTAGGAGGAGGTGGACCCAGGAGGAGGAGGACCAGGAGGACTCAGGAGGAGGAGGAGGACTCAGGAGGAGGACTCAGGAAGAGGACTGAGGAGGACAGAGAAAGAGGAGGACTGAGGAGTACTGAGGAGGATAGCTGAGGAGGATGACTGAGGAGGATGACTGAGAGGGAGGAGGAGGAGAAGGAGAAGGAAGAGGACCTAGGAGGATGAGGACCCAGGAGGAGGACTCAGGAGGAAGAGAAGCAGGAGGACTCAGGAGGACTGAAAAGGAAGAGGACTGAGGAGAACTGAGGAGGAGGACTGAATAGGAGGAGGAGGAGGGGGACTGGGGGAGGACTGAGGATGCAGAAGACTGACGAGAAGGATGAGGAGGAGGACTGAGGAGGAGGACTGAGGACTGAGGAGGATGAAGAGGAGGAAGACCCAGGAGGAGGACTGAGGAGGAGGATGAGGACTGAGGAGGACTGAGGAGGATGGCTGAGGAGGATGACTGAGAGGGAGGAAGAGGAGGAGGAGGAGGAGGAGGAAGAGGACTTAGGAGGAGGAGTAGGACTGAGGAGGAGAAGGAGGAGGACCTAGGAGGAGGAGGACCCAGAAGGAGGACTCAGGAGGAGGAGGAGGAGGAGAACTCAGGAAGAGGACTGAGGAGGACTGAGAAGGAGGAGGACTGAGAAGGAGGAGGACTGAGGAGTACTGAGGAGGATGACTGAGGAGGAGGAGGAGGAGGAGAAGGACTGAGGAGGAGAAGGAGAAGGTGGAGGAACTAGGAGGAGGATGACCCAGGAGGAGGACTCAGGAGGAGAACTTAGGAGGAATGAGAAGGAGGAGGACTGAGGAGAACTGAGGAGGAGGAGGAGGAGGACTGAATAGGAGGAGGAGGAGTGGGACTGGGGAGGACTGAGGAGGAGGAGGACTGACGAGAAGGATGAGGAGGAGGACTGAGGACTGAGGAGGAAGAGGAGGAGGATGAAGAGGAGGAAGAGGACCCAGGAGGAGGAGGACTGAAGAGGAGGATGATGATGAGGACTGAGGAGGAGGAGGACTGAGGAGGATGGCTGAGGAGGAGGAGGAGAAGGACTGAGGAGTGAGGAGGAGAAGGAGGAGGACCTAGGAGGAGGACTCAGGCGGAGGACTCAGGAGGAGGACTCAGGAGAACTGAGGAGAAGGATGAGGAGTGAATAGGAGGAGGAGGGGGACTAAGGAGAAGGATGAGGACTGAGGAGGAGGACTGAGGAGTACTGAGGAGGATGGCTGAGGAGGATGGCTGAGGAGGATGGCTGAGGAGGAGGAGGAGGAGAAGGACCTAGGAGGAGGAGGACTCAGGAAGAGGAGGAGGACTCAGTAGGAGGACTCAGGAAGAGGACTCAGGAGGAGGACTGAGAAGGAGGAGGACTGAGGAGAACGGAGGAGGAGGAGGAGGACTGAATAGGAGGAGGAGGGGGACTGGGGAGGACTGAGGAGGAGGGGGACTTTGGGAGGACTGAGGAGGAGGAGGAGGACTGACGAGAAGGATGAGGAGGAGGACTGAGGAGGATCAGGAGGACTGATGATTGAGGAGGAAGAGGAGGAGGATGAAGAGGAGGAGGAGGACCCAGGAGGAGGAGGACCCAGGAGGAGGAGGACCCAGGAGGAGGATTCAGGAGGAGGAGGAGAACGACTGAGGAGGGCTGAGGAGGAGGAGGAGAAGGAGGAGGAGGAGGAGGAGGAGGAGGAGGAGGAGGAGGAGGAGGAGGAGGAGGAGGAGGAGGAGGAGGAGGAGGAGGAGGAGGAGGAGGAGGAGGAGGAGGAGGAGGAGGAGGAGGAGGAGGAGGAGGAGGAGGAGGAGGAGGAGGAGGAGGAGGAGGAGGAGGAGGAGGAGGAGGAGGAGGAGGAGGAGGAGGAGGAGGAGGAGGAGGAGGAGGAGGAGGAGGAGGAGGAGGAGGAGGAGGAGGAGGAGGAGGAGGCTCCAAAAGCTGTGTCTCCAATGTCTCCAATGCCCCTAATATCCATTTTATGTCCCTAATGTCCCCAATGTCTCCAATGTCCCCAATGTCCCAAATGTCTCCAATGTCTCCAAAAGCTGTGTCTCTAATGTCCCCAGTGTCCCCAATGTCCCCAATGTCTCCAATGTCTCCAAAAGCTGTGTCTCCAATGTCTCCAATGTCTCCAATGTCTCCAATGTCTTTGTCTTTTTCGAAAAGATAAGGTGCGGGAGACATTGGAGACATGTCACCCCCCGATACTGGATACTAGATTACATGGATACTGGATACTAGATTACATGGATACTGGATACTAGATTACATGGATACTGGATACTAGATTACATGGATACTGGATACTAGATTACATGGATACTGGATACTAGATTACATGGATACTGGATACTAGATTACATGGATACTGGATACTAGATTACATGGATACTGGATACTAGATTACATGGATACTGGATACTAGATTACATGGATACTGGATACTAGATTACATGGATACTGGATACTAGATTACATGGATACTGGATACTAGATTACATGGATACTGGATACTAGATTACATGGATACTGGATACTAGATTACATGGATACTGGATACTAGATTACATGGATACTGGATACTAGATTACATGGATATTGGATACTAGATTACATGGATACTGGATACTAGATTACATGGATACTGGATACTAGATTACATGGATACTGGATACTAGATTACATGGATACTGGATACTAGATTACATGGATACTGGATACTAGATTACATGGATACTGGATACTGGATACTGGATACTGGATACTGGATACTTGGTAGGATTTTAACATTTCTGTAAATAGTAATGCATGTAGATGTATGTTGCTAGGTAACAGATTGGTTTTAACAGACCAATCGTGCCACATTAGGCCATTAGACACTGGAACATGGCATTAGAAGAGGGCACATAATATTTACTCCCATTAACTTAGAGCTGTACTTGACAATTCAGCATCTAGATATTCCAGATCGTCGCAGGAAACCACTATTCATTCTCCTATGAGGAGTGAAGACTTGTAATGAGAAATGCTGGTTATAGTTGTGAGCCGAGTGTCTAATATTAAACCGTGTACCGTAAAGTAAATACCTCAGAATACAGAAGACCTGCAATATCTCCAGTGATTCGATCAGTTGATTAGTTGTGTTAAACCATGTTTATAACCATACTATTCAAGAGTTTAAAAGGAGCCTGCCCGCCCTGTAATGTGACCAGTGTGCGTGTCGGAGAGCATGGACCATTGGACCAGACTTATAGCTCTCATATTTTAAGAGCGAGATATAATGTGAGATGATGGTATTGTCTCTGTGAGAGATATTATGTAATCAGTACTTAGTAGTGCGAGATATGCAGCATTTTGCAATAAAAGTTGTAAGTTTGCATTGCAGGGGTCGACAGATTCACAGAAGCCTCAGTCAAGCTTTAAAAACTGCCCTTCGAAAAACATCAATTTCACAATAATTTGACAGCCTGAAACTACTGGAGCAAGAAAGTCAAAGCAACAAACAGCTAGAATATGCAAGGAGGACACAACTACAGTGTACTACAGCCAGGAGGAAGATATGTGACAGGATTCCTGAACCTTGCCAAGTTATTAACACCGGCTGTCATAGCTATCATGACTCTGAACTGTCTCCTGAACAAGACCCTTCTTACAAATTACAAAATCGAAGTCTGATTGAACAGACGGCCGCGTTGAAATGTTACGATGATATTTGAATGAGAAATTTTAAATATGATCATCACTATGTTACGTAAATGCTGGCTAATTATTAATGGTTGTCAAATATAAACAAATGTCAAGAAGCACTAAAAGTAACGATGTGCTATCAAACGATCCGAGCTAAGAGCAATGAAGACAAGCAAGTATGTTAAGTGTTTGCTTTTGGCAAAGCCTAGATGCCACCTCATAAAATAAACACAGTTGGCATGCAATTGGTAACACCAACTAAACCACGATACGCGAGGTGTGGTGTAATTAACTACTAGTAATGGTATGTATCGTATTGCTAATTGACCTACAGATTCAGCTGAAACAGAAGTACTGACCACCAATTATTGAGCCCACTAATTAAACTTCACAAGTAGCTCAGCTCTAATCATGAGCATTGATAAGATATGCATTATTTATGCACACTAATACTACTACTATAAGTTACGGTAACCCAGGAAACCTGCATTTCCTCCTATGCTCCAAAAACTACCCAGTAATCCGACAACAGAGACAATTGACAAATCGCTACAGTTGAAGTTGCACTGTAGTCTGTATGCTCAGTCAACAGCCAATGAAAAGCAAGAGATATAAGATGCAGTTCAGGTGTCGTCCAAGAAGCACTTCACCACGACTTTCTCTCGTTTTCGCCGCTAATAGCGCTAATTTTCTTGATACGCAAGAGTGTTGACAGTGGTAATTGGTGAAGTGACGATGTACTCTCTCTTTCTCCACGTAAGATGTCTTGTTGAGGAACTCGGGAGATTTTTACAGTGCCAGGTGATAATTGGTGTCCGAAGAGGACATTCCAAAATGGCATCTGATGATTAGATAATTGTAAGATATGCGGTTTTTAAAGAGATATACAAGAGATCTGTGTAACTTTAATAGGTTTAGGGTAAGGATATGTCCGATGTCGATAACAAGTTCACGATAAAACGTTTATCATACACTGAACATGGCATTGCATTGGACGGCCTCATTTTAAAGATAGAAAAATGACATGTGTTTCCATTTATTGATATCAAGAAGGTAAGTGGAAGTAATTAAATACCCTTCCCTCCCTCACATCTCACCCTAACCATCACTGTTAACTGTCAGTGTAACATCTCACCCAAACTGTCAGTGTTACTGTATCTACCGTGTACTGCCGTACTAGGGGGGACATTATAGATCACTCTTGTCCTCTTCAACACGGAGACAAAGAATAGTTCTGGAGCTGGGTAATTAAAGTAGGTCGGGAGGAGCGGGAAGCTAAATTTAGATCACCGCTCAGATATTATAATTTACACAGTTTTCTCTTGATTTAAATGTAAGAAGTGAATCTTGTATCGTTTCTCCTGATGACTATCTGATTATCTAGTCTATTCCATGATATCATGTACGTGTTCTGTAGTCTGTATATGTTCCTGTCAACTTGGAATTTCGATCTTTCTCTAATTTTATTGCGGATTCCTAGTTTAACGGCTGGTGTCGACTGTAAATATAATTTTTCCCCATAATCGATGTAATTCATTATGAAAGATCTATTTTGCGATACTTACGGAGGACACCAGGGCAACATTACTACCCCGAATGATGCAGTTTGATATTATTCTCGTATACATACAGGCTCGAAGCAAAGATCGTTCAGAGTTTAACAATCCTCCTCCAAAGATTAATAAGCACGAAACAATACAATGAAAATGTTTACTAAATCTGATTTACATCGCATATATCGATTAGGCCTTAAAAGGTATCGTAAGATGTTCGCTCGTCAATCAAACAAGTTCTCGATGCAAAGTGCACACACATGTGCGTTTATCAACCCTCAAACTATGAAATGACACTTCCCAAACACATCAAAATATGTCTAGTAATTTTGCACCTACTTGGATCGCACTTCTCACTTATTTTCGACTGGAGATTTACAAAAGAGCTGGCTGCTAGTGGTAGACAATCTCATAACATTGCAGAATCATCTGACAGAATAACAGTAGTCGACAGAGCAAGAAGAACTTAAATTGTTAAATGTTGTGAAAAGTTGGGAAAGCAATCACATGGGAGGTAGTGCTAACATTTACAGAAGGTTCCACTCTGTACATCATCACATGTTCTACTATATGGCATCATGGCAGATTGGCAGGTGTCCAGCAAAGCTAAAGAGGGAATTCTATTTTTATACACGAGCATGTTAAACACGGTACAGAACCGCTAGTTTCAGTCAACTGTAAAGGTCCTTCATGATTTGCTACTATTTTGTTCTAGTGTATAAGGTTAAAAGTGCCCCAGTGCGACGTGGCTGTGACGTGGAGGAAGTTTAACGTAACAGCTACAAGTCAATACAGCAGCAGATTCAGTTTACAGTGCAACTGGTTTACTGCAACTGGTACTACAACTGCAGCTCTGAGAGTTGAAAGGTAATGGATAAATTTGCGAGGATAAGTAACAACAAAGGACAAAAAAGAAAAAAGGCACTACAACTAAGTGATACAAATTGTTTCCCACGCATACGGCAAATCCATACATATCACTCGCATAACCAGAGCTACTAGTAATACTACTAGTAGTAATACTACTAGTAGTAACCAGTGCGAACACCATAGTACCACCCTCACAATAAAGTAATAACGTATACACAACACTACAGCATGGTATATTATTATACACTGGCTTTAGGAAGCACCAATGCGGATATTGACAGAGGTCCGAGCCAGAGGATCCTAATTAGGACCCTTTGTGCGTGTTTATAATGGCTTTATCTTGCTTCTTTGTGGTTGACTGATTGCTTTATTTCCAGAAATAAGACCTGACACAATTTCCTTTTAAAATCTGAGCTGGAGGGCAAGGGCTAGCAGCAGGCTGCTGGCTGGGTGTGGGCTTTCTGGTAATTGGTGACAATTATTAAATAATGATGGACAATTAATCGGGAAAATATTTACTGACCGGATATTTTTAATTGGATATTTCTCAAAGGTGCAGTAGCTACTAATAATTATGTTGTGATCGTTATTTCTAATTGTGTACTTTTTGACAGATTCATGGTAACCAAGGAAATAGCGCCCAAAATAACTGTCGGCCCTCTTTGGTCTCGCAAGTGTTGTGAGTGTCTATTTAGACCAAGCAGAAAACTTAGTCTAGTGTGAAAATACAGCTCGACTGTTATCAAAATGAGTCGAATTAGCAATTACTAAAGACTTGAAGTTACGATTATTGCTGACATGAGCACAGAATTAAAGTTTAGAATGAAACGTAAGCAAGCGCATGGTAACTGTTGTAAATATCACTTTAACGACTGACAGCCTTCTTTAGATATTGTATTGTTTCATAACTTGACGAAAAGTGTCATGAAGAACTTGACACGCCTTGAACTCAATAGGTACCAAGCTAAACACATTAAATCGTGGGAAATCAAGTTTTAAAACTTACGAATTAGACACACCGAAGTCGTAAAGTACGGGCATTTGTCCAAAACGGCAGAGGGAGAAATAACCTCTCTATTTTTATTTTGACACCAAAATGAACGACATCGTAGGCCTCTCCCTTTATATTTACAGCGAAATGCAGCGTTAGATCGATACTCATGTTGTCAATGCTAATATCATAGTAATGAACTGTAAGGGTTCCTTCAGGAAGTGTGGCACCGCGCATGAATGCTTTACTTTTACACTAGTTGTTCAGGGAAAAGAGTTGCGCCGACTAGTAACTGAGACTAATGCTCTGAAACTTTGTAAAGTTCACAAAACCTCTTAAGTGAGGACAATTCCTTGAACAATTACGTCTCTCCGTCTTCAAGAGCTATAAATAGACAACCGTAAGTGCACTGAGTGATTACCGATTACTGAACTTACTAACTTAACGTATCCAGATCCTCGGTAAAATTTACCAGTTCCACGTATAATTGATGCAAGATAACTTCTGCCCAAATAAGGGTATCAGCGGTTCCGGTAGTTGAACATTACATCTGGCACAACGCCAGAGTAAATATAATACGGTTTAGATTACTCACTACTCAGATTAACACGTTGAGAACTACGTCAAATTAGTAAATTAAGCTCAGTACTTTCAAGTGGCTTCAACTGTTTTTCAGAAAAACTGAAAAACACTTGTTGACATCCAAGTGCTCCCAACAACCCATTTGTCAACAGCTTCACCAATGCATGCTGCCAGCTAAATTTCACTTGACTTCACAACATGTTTCCCCCCGCTGTCCTCTTTTCTGGCACAGGGATTCGTTGGATCTAAAGACAGCAGAACATCTTGGACATGACTCACATCTCATACCACAGCTGCAGTTGAGTAAAGTAAAATATTGTCCAACATCAGTCACCAGATCGTTGAAATTCAGTCCTCAGATTACGTTGGAAACAGGTGAAATCATTAGTGATTAGAAAATAGAAATCGTACTGCCATCCAGGAGGCAACACTTTTAATACGGTAACAAGGATAATATAAATGCCAGGCCGATGTTCCCCGATAAAAAGCAATTATAGTCTAGTATATAGGTTTGAGGCAGCCAGGTGTTCAGAGAGCGATGGACTACTGTATCCGTTACTCTGTACAGTGAGCTCAGTTATACTACCATGAACCTTGCTACAGTTTTTTTGTTGGTTGTCTCCATAAGTGCCTCGGTGGCATACCGTTCGAGTTCTGATTTAAATGATGAGTCAGAAAAGTCAACTCAGACCAAGACCGACATGTTTGATATGATGCTGAATCTGATTAAATCCATGTTGTGTACAAATAAAGACCAAGGCGGAGATGATAACAGTGACGATCTCTTCCAGATGATAATAAATCTTGCTAGGATTTTCCTCTGTGAAGAGGATAACACGCCAAAATAGTGAATTTGAACCTTTTTAAGAGCTGGAGACTGGCCGATTGTCTGACTGAAATTGTATTTGAAGATTCTTCCGATCCTCAATTGTATCAGTTGATTACAGCAAAACATTAAAGTAGGTCAATCTATCATTCGTTTTAAGTACGACAGAATTCTACCATAAATTAATTACACTGCAATTGATTCGTCTTGAGGAGAGCTTTAGAAACTATAATATTCCAGCACACATTTAATGGATTGATATGCATGTCATGATTATTTAAGTGTTTATTTTAAAATCAAAATACAGCTTTTCTTTTTATTTATTTATTACACAAAGTTTGCGGTTAAAAGTTATTGAATGGTAAAGCGACGACAAAATAAAGTCAAAAACCCAAACGAATAAGAACGTTAGAATAGAATAGACCAGATTAGAATTCATTTTTACATAGCTGATAAGGAGTTGCCAATAGACCTACATTTTCACAAGTTATCTTTGCGATCTCGATCAGTGATTCAGTTAAATGTATAATTAATTTTGTAGTTTAGCAGGAAAAGGCCCTGATAACGTCAAAGAAGGCAGATAAACATCAAGATAAGCGCAGCTATATTATTATATTATTAAGTCGTCGTATAAGCTGAATTTTCATCGTGCTACAATATTGTGTGACCTACTTTAATAAACTTTCACGGCTATCTTTAATAAATCATACATTTACAATGTTCAATTTAGGGACTGTCATCTTCTGACAATTCCGTCTCGTTTACCCATTTGAGTTTTATCCTTATAGGGGGGGGGGGGTGTCATGTCCGTCTATGTCCGCCTATGTCCTGTCCTTTTTGGATTCTATGAGACAACGGACGTGTTTTTTGGGACATGGGCGGACACGGACGGACATTGGCGGACTTGGACGGACATTGGCGGACTCGGACGGACATAGGCGGACCCGGACGGACATAGGCGGACTCGGACGGACATTGGTGGACATTAGCGGACATTGGTAGACATTAGCGGACAAAAATTTTGAGAATTTTTCGCAACTTGTATTATAATCTTGTACAAAACAAACGACTTATTAATCACACTAAAGCTATTAATAGCTTTAACTTATTATATCAAATTATGGGAATTATATAGGGACCCAGGAAAAGGCCCCAGGAGGAGGAGGAGGAGGAGGACTGGGGAGGAGGAGGACTGTTGAGGACTGATGAGGAGGACTGAGGACGAGGAGGAGGAGTAGGAGGAGGACTGAGGAGGGGAGGGGGTAGAGAACTGGGGAGGATCAGGAAGACCCAGGAAGAGGACCCAGGAGGAGGACCCAGGAGGAGGAGGAGGAGGACTCAGGAGGATGACTCAGGAGGAGGAAAACTCAGGAGGAGGACTGAGGAGGACTGAGAAGGAGGAGGACTGAAGAGTACTAAAGAGTACTGAGGAGGATGGCTGGGGAGGATGGCTGAGGAGGATGGCTGAGGAGGATGACTGAGAAGGATGACTGAGGAGGATGACTGAGAGGGAGGAGGAGGATCAGGAAGACCCAGGAGGAGGAGGAGGAGGAGGACCCAGAAGGAGGACCTAGGAGGAGGAGAACTGAGGAGGATGACTGAGGAGGAGGAGGACTCAGGAGGACTGAGAAGGAGGAGGACTGAGGAGGATGGCTGAGGAGGATGACTGAGAGGGAGGAGGAGGAGGAAGAGGAGGAAGAGGACTGAGGAGGAGGAGGAGAAGGACTGAGGAGGAGAAGGAGGATCCAGGAGGAGGACCCAGGAGGAGGAGGACCCAGGAGGAGGACCCTGGAAAAGGCCCCAGGAGGAGGAGGAGGACCCAGGAGGAGGAGGACTGTTGAGGACTGATGAGGAGAACTGAGGACGAGGAGGAGGAGTAGGAGGAGGACTGAGGAGGGGAGCAGGAAGAGGACTGGGGAGGATCAGGAAGACCCAGGAGGAGGACCCAGGAGGAGGAGGAGGAGGAGGAGGACTCAGGAGGACTGAGGAGGAGGAATGACGATGACTGAGAAGGAGGAGGACTGAGGAGTACTGAGGAGGATGGCTGAGGAGGATGGCTGAGGAGGATGACTGAGGAGGATGACTGAGGAGGATGACTGAGAGGGAGGAGGAGGAGGACTCAGGAGGAGGACTTAGGAGAAATGAGAAGGAGGACTGAGGAGGAGGAGGAGGAGGAGGAGGAGGAGGACTGAATAGGAGGAAGACAAGGAGGGAGACTGGGAGAGGACTGAGGAGGAGGAGGACTGATGAGAAGGATGAGGAGGAGGACTGAGGACCGAGGAGGAAGAGGACTGGGGAGGATCAGGAAGACCCAGGAGGAGGACCCAGGAGGAGGAGGAGGAGGAGGACCCAGGAGGAGGAGGAGGACTCAGGAGGACTGAGGAGGAGGACTGACGATGACTGAGAAGGAGGAGGACTGAGGAGTACTGAGGAGGATGGCTGAGGAGGATGGCTGAGGAGGATGACTGAGGAAGATGACTGAGAGGGAGGAGGAGGAGGACGCAGGAGGAGGACTTAGGAGAAATGAGAAGGAGGACTGAGGAGGAGGAGGAGGAGGAGGAGGAGGACTGAATAGGAGGAGGAGAAGGAGGGGGACTGGGAGAGGACTGAGGAGGAGGAGGACTGATGAAGTGATGAGAAGGATGAGGAGGAGGACTGAGGACCGAGGAGGAAGAGGAGGAGGATGAAGAGGAGGAGGAGGAGGATCCATGAGAGGACTGAGGAGGATGACTGAGAGGGAAGAGGAGGAGGAGGAGGAGGAGGACTCAGGAGGAGGAGGAGGAGGACTGAGGAGGACTGAGAAGGAGGAGGACTGAATAGGAGGAGGAGGAGGGGGACTGGGGGAGGACTGAGGAGGAGGATGGAGGACTGAGGAGAAGGATGAGGAGGAGGACTGAGGAGGACTGAGGAGTGAGGACTGAGGAGGAAGAGGAGGAGGAGGACCCAGGAGGAGGACCCAGGAGGAGGACCCAGGAGGAGGACTCAGGAGGAGGAGGACTGGGGAGGAGGAGGACTGTTGAGGACTGATGAGGAGGACTGAGGACGAGGAGGAGGAGTAGGAGGAGGACCCAGGAGGAGGAGGAGCTGAGGACTCAGGAGGACTGAGGAGGAGGACTGACGATGACTGAGAAGGAGGAGGAGGAGCTGAGGACTCAGGAGGACTGAGGAGGAGGACTGACGATGACTGAGAAGGAGGAGGACTGAGGAGTACTGAGGAGGAGGAGGAGGAGGAGGACTGATGACAAGAATGAGGAGGAGGACTGAGGACCGAGGAGGAAGAGGAGGAGGATGAAGAGGACCCAGGAGGAGGAGGACTGAGGAGGAGGACTGAGGAGGATGACTGAGAGGGAAGAGGAGGAGGAGGAGGAGGACTCAGGAGGAAGAGGAGGAGGACTGAGGAGGACTGAGAAGGAGGATGACTGAAGAGGAGGAGGAGGAGGACTGAATAGGAGGAGGAGGAGGGGGACTGGGGGAGGACTGAGGAGGAGGATGGAGGACTGAGGAGAAGGATGAGGAGGAGGACTGAGGAGGAGGACCCAGGAGGAGGACCCAGGAGGAGGACCCAGGAGGAGGACTCAGGAGGAGGAGGAGGACTGGGGAGGAGGAGGACTGTTGAGGACTGAGGACGAGGAGGAGGAGTAGGAGGAGGACTGAGGAGGGGAGGAGGAAGAGGACTGAGGAAGATCAGGAAGACCCAGAGAGAGGCCGAGGAGGAGGAAGAGTAGGAGGAGGAAGCATCTAAATGTTATTTCCATTTTTGTCCGTTTTTGTCCAATTTTGTCCGCTCTATTTTTTGTCCGTTTTGAAAATATAGGGTACCGAACGGACAGGAGGACTGATGACAAGAATGAGGAGGAGGACTGAGGACCGAGGAGGAAGAGGAGGAGGATGAAGAGGACCCAGAAGGAGGAGGACTGAGGAGGAGGACTGAGGAGGAGGACTGAGGAGGATGACTGAGAGGGAAGAGGAGGAGGAGGAGGAGGACTCAGGAGGAGGAGGAGGAGGACTGAGGAGGACTGAGAAGGAGGATGACTGAGGAGGAGGAGGAGGAGGACTGAATAGGAGGAGGAGGAGGGGGACTGGGGGAGGACTGAGGAGGAGGATGGAGGACTGAGGAGAAGGATGAGGAGGAGGACCCAGGAGGAGGAGGAGCTGAGGACTCAGGAGGACTGAGGAGGAGGACTGACGATGACTGAGAAGGAGGAGGAGGAGGAGCTGAGGACTCAGGAGGACTGAGGAGGAGGACTGACGATGACTGAGAAGGAGGAGGACTGAGGAGTACTGAGGAGGAGGAGGAGGAGGAGGACTGATGACAAGAATGAGGAGGAGGACTGAGGACCGAGGAGGAAGAGGAGGAGGATGAAGAGGACCCAGGAGGAGGAGGACTGAGGAGGAGGACTGAGGAGGATGACTGAGAGGGAAGAGGAGGAGGAGGAGGAGGACTCAGGAGGAAGAGGAGGAGGACTGAGGAGGACTGAGAAGGAGGATGACTGAAGAGGAGGAGGAGGAGGACTGAATAGGAGGAGGAGGAGGGGGACTGGGGGAGGACTGAGGAGGAGGATGGAGGACTGAGGAGAAGGATGAGGAGGAGGACTGAGGAGGAGGACCCAGGAGGAGGACCCAGGAGGAGGACTCAGGAGGAGGAGGAGGACTGGGGAGGAGGAGGACTGTTGAGGACTGAGGACGAGGAGGAGGAGTAGGAGGAGGACTGAGGAGGGGAGGAGGAAGAGGACTGAGGAAGATCAGGAAGACCCAGAGAGAGGCCGAGGAGGAGGAAGAGTAGGAGGAGGAAGCATCTAAATGTTATTTCCATTTTTGTCCGTTTTTGTCCAATTTTGTCCGCTCTATTTTTTGTCCGTTTTGAAAATATAGGGTACCGAACGGACAGGAGGACTGATGACAAGAATGAGGAGGAGGACTGAGGACCGAGGAGGAAGAGGAGGAGGATGAAGAGGACCCAGGAGGAGGAGGACTGAGGAGGAGGACTGAGGAGGAGGACTGAGGAGGATGACTGAGAGGGAAGAGGAGGAGGAGGACTCAGGAGGAGGAGGAGGAGGACTGAGGAGGACTGAGAAGGAGGATGACTGAGGAGGAGGAGGAGGAGGACTGAATAGGAGGAGGAGGAGGGGGACTGGGGGAGGACTGAGGAGGAGGATGGAGGACTGAGGAGAAGGATGAGGAGGAGGACTGAGGAGGAGGACCCAGGAGGAGGACCCAGGAGGAGGACCCAGGAGGAGGACTCAGGAGGAGGAGGAGGACTGGGGAGGAGGAGGACTGTTGAGGACTGAGGACGAGGAGGAGGAGTAGGAGGAGGACTGAGGAGGGGAGGAGGAAGAGGACTGAGGAAGATCAGGAAGACCCAGAAGGAGGCCGAGGAGGAGGAAGAGTAGGAGGAGGAAGCATCTAAATGTTATTTCCATTTTTGTCCGTTTTTGTCCAATTTTGTCCGCTCTATTTTTTGTCCGTTTTGAAAATATAGGGTACCGAACGGACAAAAAACATGATCCCCCTATAACAGCAAAAATTGAACATTTTATTTAGCAATTTAGGTGTCCATTAATGTCCGCTAATGTCCGTATATGTCCGTCTATGTCCGCCTATGTCCGTCTATGTCCGCCTATGTCCGTCTATGTCCGCCTATGTCCGTCTATGTCCGCCTATGTCCGCCTATGTCCGCCTATGTCCTGTCCTTTTTGGATTCTATGAGACAAGCGGACATAGACGGACGTGACACCCCCCCCCCCCCCCCCCCCCTTATAGGGCAGAACTGTCGTATGATGTTATGTGCAACCCGACTGCCAATCGTTTAAGCGTGGTTTATAAGGCATCATGTAGCCTCCAGGCTCGACAAACCCCGACAAACCCCGACAAACCACGACAAACCCCGACAAACTCCGACAAACCCCGACATATCCCGACAAACGGGGTTTGTCGGGGTTTGTCGAGGGGTTTTGCCTCGGGCCCACCGGCTACATGAGGCCTTCTTGTATAGTGTTTTTCCACGTAAAGCTTGATGACTCCGTCTCGGCTTTTTGTTGGGAGACTCAAAAAAAAAAAAAAAAAAAAAAAAAAAAAAAAAAAAAAAAACCTCCAGGCTCGACAAACCGGAAACCCCGTCAAACCCCGTCAAACCCCGTCAAACCCTGACAAACCCCGACAAACCCCGACAAACCCTGACAAATCCCGACAAACCCCGACGTGTCAAGATATGTCGTATCATGTCGGGCCCACCGGCTACATGATGCCTTTTATAAACTGCTAACATTAACCTTATAACTGATCCACTACCATACCAGTACCAGTGTGTTAACTCTTCACAGTTATAAACGGCTCAACTTAATAATATTCACGTTGCCAGACAGAACTGAACTTTGAAGTGTCGTCAGCGGCACCATTTAGCGGCACTATTTAGCGGCACCATTTAGCGGCACTATTTAAATTTGTTTTAAAGAGATACTATTTATGGTTGGATCTGTCAAAATATAAAGACAGTTGTGACGATAGCATATCATGGTAAAGACATTCGCAAATTATAGTTTAACTAACTATTCAGTATTTGCCCATTATTTGACTAAACTCAACATTCAGAAAGTTGAACAACAAATACAGACTACAGCAAAAAACTACTACTTCAATAGCATTCAGAAAGGCAGCACGCTCAACTAAAACTAAACCTTAAGCAGGTCAGATCATTGAGAGGGGGTAATTATCAAATTATCCCAATTAACTTAGGAAAAGTCTGTGACTGCTCCGTCTAGTTTCCTGGGTCAGAGCGTGCGGAGAATGGACAAGGGTCCCTCAGTGCTGGTCACATGACACGGGTCCCTCAGTACAGACAGCTGGAGCCGCTCTTGTTCCGGTGGGTTGACCTGCCACTTGTTCAATGTTGCCGACACCCTTCATGTGACCTTCCCCATCCAACGAAACTTCAACTGCAACTCGTAATGGTTCAATGTTGGCTTTCAGGTGACCTCCGAGCTTTCCCCCGTGTTCAGCAAGACTCTTATTCTTTCAGAGGTGAGACTGGTGTTTCTAGATCATATTTATAATAATAAGAAGTAGTGCCGAATTAGATGGAGTTAAAGTGGAAATTGTACCGATGTCAACATCGGTACAACTTCCACGAAGCAGATTTGATCAACTGATCAAATCTGCTTCGTCCTGTTACTGTTTTTAGAGTCCCTAGAATCCTTACCAACAAAGAGTTTGTCCCATTCAGCAAGGTAGTGGGTGTCAAACTCCCTATATATAATATCGTGACGTATACTGTTAAAACCTGGTGTCTTGTAGAGTTAACCTTGCCATATAGGTTCAATGTGCTGTCATGTTGTGGAAAAGGACTGAGCTTCTGAGCGCTGTCCATAGTTAAATACAGTTGCCAAGCCTTGAAATGTCAACAGTCAAACTTGGTGAACGAACTTTCTGGAATTATAAACTTACTTTCTGTATAACTAAAACTGAAAACTCTGTATATGTACATTGAAGATAGATTATATTCGTGCTACGTTATCACGATGTATCATAATTCATAATGGTCTGAATTTCCTCTCTCATTTTAAGGCAGAACGTGTAGTAGCCTGAAAGATTATAAAACAACATTTCCTACAAAGCAAAGAACGTTAAAAGCGCAATTAATTAAGCAAGTAATATAAGATGGTTGAAAAGATGGTAATATGCATTCAGTACCTAATAAATGACCAATATGCCAGTAAACTCATAGCAACGACAAATTACCAAGTAATAATGGAATTTCCCCGTGAAATTATCAGCAGACAAACCAATTGTAATAACCATCTGCATCCTTCTTTTTTGAAATTGATATTTGAAACTGAATTACGACCTGCAGCTGTCCGAGCATATGTTTTATTTATAGATAATCCTAGTACTGTACCAGTTACCACATGTCCAAATTTTAACATAATAATTTTATAATTAGATAATTTTAATACTGTACCATATGAAAGCGATAATGTACTGCATATTCCAGAATTTAATGAGATTTCAGATTTGAGATAAGAAAAGTGGAGGAACGGTCATTACTCATTGTACACTGTGGATTAATAAAACGATAAACCAGAGGATGCATCTCAGGATTAACTTCATATGGTAAGTCATCTTAGAAGATTAATATAATAACGTCTACTCTTACGTCACAGCCATTGCACTTCCTGCATTATTTTTTGCGCATATTTGGATGGTTAATTCCTTATTTGTTACATTGGTGATATTCTGAATAATACACTGTAGAATCGTATTCTCAGAACTGTACAGCAATAAGAGGACTGTATGACATTAAGCTTTACTAATTGGAACTGCAACTTCTGCAATTTCTCCCAATCTACAAGAACCGCATAATCTGCCACATTAGAACATTCTTGCCAAATTGAAGGACCTAACCTCAGATAGTGAGCACCCTGTAGTAAAGAGAGTGCCTGTGTAGGAAGACAAGTGGACTATCATTATGTCATTACCAATGTCTACCACCCAGCATTACATCATTTCTCTCCAATGTGGCCTGGACCACTACAAATATCTCATAATAACTCTTACCTATGGCTGCGTTTAGCTCTGAGGGCTATGGGGTTTAAGTATATAATGGCCATGGTCTGGTCTCATCAAGTAAATTATGACAGCATGTATGCTCCAAACTCAAGTCTGCACATAATGTAGCACCATGGCCATGGCATAAGGAGATATTCGTTAAACCCTTTTGAAAAACTTTTATTAGTTGAAAATCGAAATCTTACCTGACTTGCAATACTTGTGGAGTAGTTTCTTCACAGTTGCTTTGTCAAAGTTCTGACATGCTTTCTGCAGCTCCAACTCCTTTCCCATCGATGAGTTACAGCACGCCACTTTTTTAGAATCCTGACTAGGCGCCACAATATCAAA